AGTTATAAAACTACTATATAGTATATTAGAAGCTAGAAATTATTAGTTTAAAACTTATTATTCCTATTATATTAACGAGCTTTTTATAAAATAGTTAACTTATAACTTTTATTTCTTTTATAGCAAGTAACTATTCGAAATTAGTAGCCTTTAAACTAATAATATCTTATTTATTAGAAATAATAATTTTATAAAAATAGAATAACTAAAGCTTTAAAAAACTAAGTTCTTAGCTAAAAAATATAAATACCTTACTTTTAACTATAATTTTAAGTTTAATAGAAATATTATTTATATAGAAACTATTAGAATTACTCTTATATAAAAATACTAGTATAAAAACCTTAGAATTATATTAATTAAGAATACTATTATTATAAGTAGTAAAGGTATTATATATTAAAATCTTTTTATTAAAAACTAATATATTACTTAATATACTAGAGAAATATATATTATATTAGTCTATTAACTAGAAGCTTTATATAATCTATTAATTACTATTTAAGCTATTAAATTTTTAGAAACTAATATTAAGGTATTTAATAAATATATTTAATAGCAAATTAAAAATACTACTAGAGAACTGAGATTTATAAAACTAGTAAAAAAGTTCTTATATTTAATTATTTTTACAAATACTTTATTTATAAATAATAGAGATTTCTTTTTTTAAATCAAATATATTCTAGTTCTAATAAATAGAACTAAATATACTAATATTATCTACTAGTTCTCTACTAAATACAAAAGAGTTACTAGAAGTATTCTAGCTTCGGAACTATATAATATAGTTTATAGCTTTAATATAAGCGCTTTTATTAAATTAATAATTAATAGAATACTAGAAATAGAACTTCTATTAGTTATTTATACGAATTCGAAATCGTTATATAAATACCTTATTAAATTAGGTATTACTTAAAAGAAATACCTAATAATTAATATAATATATCTTTACTAGATATATAAATAATAAGAGATTATAGAAGTTAAATAAATTAAGGGAAAATCGAATTCTACTAATTCTATAATAAAATTAAAATTATTAAATACTCTTAAATACCTAATTAATACAAATATAATATAATTAGATATAGAGAAATAGGTTATATATAAATAAGATAGGAAATATATATATAAAATAGAGAAAAATAAATATATGAAATAAGAAAATATTATAGAAATAGAAGTTATATATAAAAGGCTATAGCTTTTAGTATATAACTAAAACCTTAAAAATAATATAAGTATATAGAATATTTGGGAAATCTGGTACTAGGCCAGATTAGGGAATTAGTATATAATTAGAGAGAAATACTATTTTTTGTATTTTTAGAGAGATTCTAGTATTAATATAGCTGTTTTTTCGGAAGTTATATATATAGTTATAGAACTCGGAATATAAGTAATAAAATATAAATAATAAGATATAGAATATAGGATATAGTTATATAACCTTATATTTTATAGATAACTCGACCGGTAGCTAGTTCCTATTAGGCTTAATAGATTTAGGAATTATATATTAATATTATAATTCTTATTTCTAAATATTAATTACTTTATTAATTTTATATAAATAGTATTCTGTAATTATATAATAATATTATATATTTCTGGTAAACTAATACTTTAAAATAGTAATAACTAAATTAATTCTATTTTTTTATTTTTTTATTATTTTCTTGAAATTATTATTTTATAGAAAGTAATTAAAATAATTAAAATAAATAAATCTAATAAAGAAATTATTTATTATAGTAGATTTTATTATAGTGGGTTTTATAAGCTTATATTTAGTTCGAGATATAGTAATTTATAAGAAAAATAGTTTATAAGGCAAATAGTTTATAAAAGATATTATATTTGAAGTAAAATTTCGTTTATAATAAGAAATTTAGAAAATAAAATATTGCAATTTCAGGAGAATATAATTCCGGAAGGGCTTAAAGATTTTAAAGCTTAAAAGCTTCAGGTATTCAAGTAGTTATAAAGAGAGTAGTTTTCTATAAAAAAAGATTATTTTATAAAATAGTTAAATAATTAAATAGCTAACCGTTTAGTAATTAATAAAAAGTAGTATTTTTTCTTTTTATAAAACCAAATTATAAATAAAGGTAATTATTATTTCTCTTTTTTAATATAATATAATTAAATCTTAATAAAATCAAATATCTTTTTTTTTATAAAACCGAATTATAGGCAAAGAATTAATAGTTGTTTTTTCTTTAATTTAAATAATAGCTTTATTTCTAAAAACCCGAATCTTAAATAAATATAGCTTAATTCTTTCTAATTTATAAGTATTAATAAATCTTATTCTAATCTAAATATAAACTAATTAGTTTTAGTTTACTAGAAATATATACTATAATATATAATATATATAAAATACTTAATATTTAGAAATAAGAATTATAATATTATAATATTAAGCTTAATAGAAACTAATTTATTAGTCGAGTTATATATAAAATATAAGATTATATAACTATATCCCGTATTTTATATTCTATTACTTATATTTTATTGCTTTTAAGTTTTATAACTATATATATAACTTTTAAACTAATAGCTATATTAATAATTAGCTAAATAGTTTATTTATTATTATAAAATATAGTCTAAAGCTTTTTAAAATCTAAGTATAAATCTTTAAATAGCCTTTAGAAAGCTATAGTTTCTTTTATTATATAAGTAAGTTTATATATTTGTAATTTAGTTAAAGAAATAATTATAAAGCTTTAATAAATAGCTTTTTATAATATTAGATTTTTAAATAAAGAAATTATATATTTATAATTTAATTACTATATATTTATATTATTTATATAAAATATATCTAATATAATTAATAGCTATATTTTCTATTATATTAAATTACTAAAAACCGGGTTTTAAATAAATATTAGAAAGCTTAATTTATAGTAATAAGGTACTTTAAAGCTGGATTTACTAAGAATTAAAAAAATATTAAAGTAATAAAAGCTATATCTAATTTAATTTTAATTATAATATAAAGTAATAATTTAATCTTTTTCTAATATATTTTAATTTAATATAAATAAGCTTAATTATTATATTTCTAAAAATTAATTTCAAATAAAGAAATTCTAAAATATTTCTTATTTATTACTTTAAACTTTTTAGTAATTTTCTTAATATAGGTATTATAAACTAGCTAAAGCTTTTTAGCTTTTTAATTTCTAATTATATAAATACCTATAAACTATTTTATGTTTTATATATTATAAAGTTTATAAAGTTTTTTAATTTAAATAATAATTAATTAAATATATACTTTATTATTTTTATAATAAAGTACTTAAAAGTTATTTATATAAAAAATAATAAAAAATAATAAAAACCTTATAATTTATATTTATTTAATACTTATATTATAAAACAAGAAAGTTTTATAGTTTATATAATACTCGATTTATTTTATTATATAGCTTAATACTTTAAAATTATTTAATAGCTTATATATTATTATAAAGTTATTAGAATTTTTCTTTATATTAATAAATATATTTATAATATTAAATTACTTTATTTCTAGATTAAAATAGGCTATAATTATACTAGCTATTCTAAAAGACTTTATAATAAATATAGTAATATATATAAATAAAAGTAATGCCTTTTCTTAAAAATCTTTATAAATTACTAGCTTTAAATAATATTAAGTAATATATTTATTAGAATTAATTTTATATATAAATATATTTTTTTAAAGAAATTAGAGATATATTTACTTTATTACTAGAAATAATTCTCTAGTAATTTCGAGCTTTAAAGTTATTAATTTCTAATTTAATATCTAATTTAAAGTATTTTCTAATTAGATACTTCTCTAGATTATTTCATGTCTTTAGAGCCTTTAGAAAATTATTAATATAAATTTGTCTTATTATTATATTATTTAAAGCTCTTTACTTTAAATATATTCTTAATTAAACTATTATTATAATTATAATATATATAGTTTTATAATTTAATTTCTTTTTATAATTCTTTAACTAATTAACCTAGAAAGATTTTAAAAGAAGCTCTAAATAATTAATTTAATTCGATTTATTTATTATTTATAATAATATATTTATTATAATAATTATACTATTATTAGCTTTATCTAAATTATTATTCTAATTATTTCTTTTATATAAGCGCATTTGAATTAGCTTCTTTAATTTCTTCTTTAATTTTCTATTTTAATTAAATTATATATTATTTTTATAAAGAATTCTTTTATTTTTATTAAGTTTTTTGCTTTAATTATAAAAGCTATTAATAAACCTTATTACTAGTTCTAAAAAAAATCTTTTTACTTTTATTAATTTAATATATTTCTTTAATAATTCTAATATACTCTATTATATTTCTTTTAATTATATTAAGTTTTTTTTTAAAAGCTTAGTACTTTTATTTCTATTATTTTTAGGCTCTAATATACTTTTTAGCTTTTTATTCTCGAGTTATAACTTATTAATATACTTGTAACTTCTTTTAATTATTAGTTTATTTATTTTTTATTTGCTTTAATAAGCTATTATATTATAATTCCTTATTATTAAAGATTAATTTAATGTTTTAAATCTTATTCTCTAGAAATAGTTCTATTATAGTTTTTATAATTTTTTTTATAAAGAATATTTTTATTAAATATAATATATCTATATAATATAACCTTAAATACTTTCTTATTTTATTTTATTTTATAATTCTTAATTATTAGATATACTCTAGAACTATATATATAAATTCTATTCTAATTAGATCTAAGATTAACTATTATTTATAATAGAAGTTTTGGGTTATATTAATAGAAATAATTGCGGAATTATAATTCGAGTACTTTATTAAATATTTTCTAGTTATATATATATAAGAAGCTTTAATTATATAAGTAAATTGCGGCTATAAAGCTTTCTAGCTATAGCCTTTCTAGCAAATTAGCTATTAACTATATTATAATAGCCTTATTTTTAATTTTTTGCCTTATTCATTTAGTATTATTATTTAGCTTATATAATGGGTCGACTCGATATTTTCAAAAGTGATGAGGGTCTTGGAATTGATACGGTAGTCAGTCTCTGATATCAGCATTGTTCTGTTCAACTCATCCCCCATGAACATCTCCGTTGGTGCATTAGCCACTCTGGACAGCGTCGTTGCATATGACTCCTTGGGATCTGGTTAGCCAGGCTCGATACCTGCAACATTGATGACCCAGTACTGCTCGAGTTTCCATTCACTGACACCGGAACAATGTGTTGACATGCAATATGCCAATGTCTGAAGGAATGAGTCGTCGGTAGCATAGCATTCGGGCGATGTCGTGAACTCCGCCCCCATATCCATGCCAGCCATTCCGGCCATCGAATCTTCTCCCCCCTCCATGACACTGCAATTCAACATTGCTCCTGAGATGATGCTACGGCACGAAAACGCACATGGCGGCTTGTACATATCAATTCCATATCCAATGAAGCCATGTTTGGTGCGCCCCGAAGTAACATGGCAGAAAGCCAGTCGAGCTGAAACCAACAACAAAGCCAATAGTTGAACCATGATGATATGCGTTGGTGGGAATCGGAGTAAACAGAATTTATGTCTAGCAGATTGGAACAGGTGATGACGGGAATGCCACCGAACTGGTATTGTATTTCTTTCACTTTTGACATTCTAGCAAGTAGTTTTTATGGTACTAAAGCCCGTCCCTCGCACAATCTCCAAAACGAATCATGAAGTGACAATAGAGTGGGGTTCTCCAGGTTCTGTCCGACTTGGCATTCCAAGAACCTTCTCAAACCACCTCGTGGCCCCGAGCCTAGATTCTAATGCATGCAGGCGAGAAGCACCCACCGAAATTCGGATAGGAAAAGCTCTCCTCACATTGAGCAAGTTTCTCATCGATTTCAATGAAAAGAATTGTTGAAGCCGATGGCCAAAAGGTGTAAGGTAATATGCGGGGGATCACTCCTCACACACGAGCTTGTTCAATGAGAACCAGCCTCCAGGGCAGAGGATATAGCTGGGAAAAAAGAAGTACAACTCTGAGCCCAGACGAATATTAAGTGAAATCAGGGTAGGGGGGATTGGCCTGTCATTCTTTGTCTAGTGGTAGTAAGCTATGACAGCGTGTTGCTGCCAAGCTTTCGCGATGCATGCACTTACTGGGGCAGAAGGGAATCTGTCCAGGGGTCTCTTTGCCTGGAAAGCATGGTCTGCCAAGGATTTCTATTGACTGTCTTCATTGGTCAACAGGTTAGGATCACCAATCCATTGAGCTTACTGGAGAGGAAGCAAAATGTAAGGCGACAGGCGCGGAGGGTGGGGCAGGAATTGGAACCGAGAGATATCGAGCAACTTCGAGGTGATGGCGCGCGAAAAGCTCGCCCTTTGGGGAACTGTCCATGTCATAGAAATTCTCTGGTCCTCAACAATGTGCCACAGTGATTAATGTACCGTACATCGGGAGGGTTTAACATAACTGAACATCTAGGTGGATATAGTTAATGAACCGACAGACCGAGCGAAAACCAGTGTGTCAAATGAATAGATTAGATTAGATTAATGGCCATTAATCTAATCCATTCATGAAAAAAAAAAAAAAAAAAAAAAACTCATTAATCATATTCTATTCACGTATTAATTAGATTAATCATGATTAATCTGATTAATTATTCTAATCTAATCAAAAAAAATCTGAATTACGTTAATCATATTCTAATCTAATCATGATTAATGTGATTAATGTGATTAATTCTTTGACACACTGGCGAAAACTATAACCCTTAAGAATTCGAGCCAATTGACAGCGGTTCCTCAAGTCACAATTGTAAGTGAAGGGTCTGATGGAGTATAAGGTCACTTGACTTGTGAATCTCGATGAGATACACATCTGGATTTTGTATTATATTGTAGTCAGCAATGATTCTGAAAGTAGCACTTACAAACAACGTCAATACGAAAGAAGCTTTAATCCTAGGAACCCGGGGCTGTGAGCCCAACTATCCTGAAACATTCCTCTTGGCAAGATTTGGGCGTGACTAAAATTAGAGGCGGGGAAATGTTACAGATGGTTTGTGGAAACGGGAAGTGGCAGAAATTCGAACCAGAGTATAGCAGCCAGCCACAAATATGTCATGTGCTTGAAATGTTATGAGAATGACAGATGTATATGGATGACGAACAGTTTGATTTAATCTATAAAAAATTAAAAATCCGATGATCTTTGAGGCGATTTGGTGAGTTAAGAGAATAAGCTTTTAATCCTTTGAAACTGCTTACAAAATAAATACCTCCTATGACTAAATCGTAATTCTGGGTCCCAAAGCATGCTCTGATCCTTAGATCTCGGTAGTGCCAGAGCTACCCAGAATTCTGTTATTCATCCTTCGACGACGCCAGCAGAATAATATGGAGGCCAGTATAATAATAACACTTGGTAGGCTAACCCCAACGACAATGCCTACTAATGAACCTTTTCTAAAACCACCTGGCTGTGCCGAAGGAGATGGTGTTGGAATTGGTGTTTGAGGGCAAAAATCAACACCGTTTCCACTATCACTGCAAATGACTGGTAAACTGACACTAGTATTCAGTATTTGGCTGCAATTATAATTTCCAGTCGCATTCGTAAATGTGATGTTCGACTTAATCAGAAATAATTAGCATGTTTAGGTTTGTTCCTAACTGGGGGCTCGATTTTTCGTACCAAAGGATTAGTCGCGCAGTATTGTTCGATCATCAACCACTCTTGGTACCCCACATTATTATTGTTCGTAGCACTAATGTTGTTATTAGCAGATGCCTGGCTCAGGGCCTCAATGGCTAATGTCTCCGACTTGTTAGCAAGCTGTAGAGATTGCTCCGCTATTGTATTCGCGTTCGCCGCCGTCTGTGCCATCGAAACCGAGGCATCATCAGCGCGTCTTTGACTTATTCCAAGCCAGATGGTCGTCGCGAAGGTAGCTAATAATATGCAATTCGAAACAACGAACCAGGCCTTTTCGTGGAGTGGCTGGGTGGCAATTAGCCTCATGTATATACTAGCGGGGTTAATAGCATACCATGTCCGTCCAAAGGTAACCGGCTCGTCTTAACTCCCCCGCTCTCCGCTCCACTTCCTTTTCGATCATTAGCTTAACAGCGGACGGCAATTCCTCTCCGCTCATCGAGAAGGATTTTGATGGATTTGCAGCTGGACTGGCTTGGATAGAGTCCTGGGAACCTAGGGATGGTCTCGGAAGTAGTGTATTCGAGTTCTGACGGCTTGCTGAAGGCTCTATCGCAGGATTAGCGGAGTCAGGCTGGGCGATCGCGTTCCCTTCCCCACTTCGCCTGGGATTCACAAGAGCGATAAAGGATGCGCATATAGTGGAAGATCAAAGATGTGCTCTCTCGAAATGCGGCATTGGTCCACTTTTGATATCGCGAGGATTGAAGGGGTGAAGGTTGGCCTCTTTCAGGGAGTTTGCCTGCTGATTGCGAAGCGCGGGCGGCAACAAGGTGATACCAGCTGGTCTGTGCACAGTAAGGGGCTGCGTCAAACAGCGACCAAATCCGTTGGAATCGGCAGCAGAAACGCCTCGAACTTGCTTTATTTTATAATTCTTATTTAAACTGAATTATTATAGCTTAATATAACCAAACCGTCTTCTTTACAAACCTAATCTTCTTCTTTCCTCTTTCCAACATTTTTAAAAGTCGTCCGATACTCTTCTGCAATATACCTTTCTTGGATCAGTGTAGTGCCCTCCCCGGAGGGAATTTCGTCCGCTTTACTTTTTGACTACACTTTATATTTGGGCCTCAGGGGCATTCTTGGTTTTGGGATTTCTTTAACTACTATGCGACTATATTGCTTTTCTTTTGTTACGGATATCTCTGCCCATGAAACTCGCTGTGTTCTTACTTCAGCTCTGAACTTTAGGCCTTTCGGTCTCGCACTTCAAGCTCTTTAATAGGGCCAATCTTGCGGATATTCCTTCCTCTTACAATATTCTGGTGGCCACCCCAACCGGCTGTGGGAGGTTTACAGTCACCAGCCTCACGGCACGTTCGCTTATACTAGAAATGCTTTCTGCGGTTGTATTATAGGTACTATAATTCCCTAGTTTAGCACGTCCCCATGCCCTTCGGGAGGCCAAGGATTGTCAGTTTTCAATTGGCTATCCGCTGGACGTAAATAACTATTAAATCAAATCTGCAATATACTAACCTTTGCCAACGGGCTCATGTTAGTGAGCAGCAATTGCTTAAGTCAAAAGACGGAAGCGGACTTGAGAGAGGTCCAGATTCGGTGCAGATTACAATGGTAATAACCCGAAACGAAGCATGTCTGTGAACTATACATGTGAGAAAGCCAAGGTGAGTACTTGACATGTACAATTGAATTTTCGTTCTATTCTTCTATAATGTGTGTGTGAATCTATTTTGCAAGGCGAGCGTCTCAGACGGCGATGTTATCTCCATGAAGAAAAAAGAATTGGAAATCTCTCATCTCATCTCATCTCATTTATCCATCTCAATCTCCAATAATCTGGACGCCAGAGTCTTCTTACCCTGACTGACATCTGATATGAATCCATATCCAAAGACACATTCCAGGTATGATCGTCTGGCGCCTCAGTCCAGATCAGGAAAGATTGCTTGTGTGGCTCATTGCTGCGAGTCGCTGGACCCCGGACTCGGCCTCCTGGCCCCCAAAGCAGCATTACTCTCCCCTCTCCTCCGTCCCTGGGCCTGCCCTGCCACTGGTTGGCTACCAAGCGGGTTCACCCTCTGCCCTTGCTGCTGCGGAGCAGCCTGTGGGTACATGCTATAACCCCCCGTCGGCTGTTGCGGTTGTTGCAGCTGCGGTGTATACGCACCGTAGCTCGCGTAAGGGTTGTTGTTTTGTGTAGAGCTGGTGGGGTGGATACCCAACTCCGCCTCCTCATCCAGCCTGACCTCCCTGCCCTGTCCAGAGCCCCCATACCCACCGGCACCACCACCACCCAAGAAGGTCGTCCTGCTATCCGCCCTCTCCCTCGACGGACTCGGGCCCGTGACGCTTACCCCTGGGCCCGCGGCGCTAGGCATCGGCGGCAGGACTTCGCCCGGTCTGCGACGACCTCGCGTAGATTCGCGTTTAAGGAGGCTTTGCTTCAGGGTATCGATGTCGTTCGATCGCTGCCTCTCCATACTCCCCTCCCTACTGCCCAGCGTGATATCATCGCGTGCAGTCCACGCCGTATCACCAACGGAATCCAACGGGCGTCGTCGATTCAGCATCTCCGCCGCATTCTCCTCTTCCTTACTCCCTAACTCCGCTCCGCTTGACTTGCCCTGCGGCTTTGTGGACGAGGAAGGGATGAGACGCTTCGCTTCTTTCGCCTGGCTAGCCTTTTCGCGAGCTTCAGCAGCAAGCTCGTCCGACACCGCGACCGAATACGAAGGGTTGTTGGGGCCGCCGAGCGGCTCGCCGCCACCGCCGGGCGCGTAGATGGGTACTTTTCGCAGGGCGAGGACGAGTGCGCACATGAATTTGCTGCGTCGGGCTGCCCGGACGGTTTCGTTGTGCCAGTTGGACTTGTGGCGGATCTCAACCTTCAATTGTAACTTATCCATATTGCCGATTCCGGTCGCTTCGAGGATGATATCGCTTTGAAAGTCGCGTGAATTTTCTAGATGCCGGACAAATGCTTCCATTTCGCTGCGGAGAAGTTCGATGTCTTCGAGAGAAGTGTCGAAAGAGATGTACATTTCAAGTTGTTCTTTCATCGCTTTGGAACGCGTGATGTTCTCGATCCAGAGGTTGTTGAGCACGATGTTGGGCACTTGCACCATTTTCATGCTGTCGATGCGCTTGAAGACCGTGAAGAGGAGGGAGATCTGTTCGACGACCAGGTATTCTTGGGTGGGACCGACGATGTCGACGCGGTCGCCGACGTCGTAGGGATGCTTGACGAAGAGGAATATGCAGGAGCCGAGGAATTCTTGAGTGGTGGCCGCGAAGACGAAGGATAGTGACAAGAGTGTGGTTCCGGCTGTTGCGAGCGTTGTGACGAAGTTGGTGTCTTGGAAAGCGACTTTACACTGTTAGTGTGAAAAAGGGGAGGGGGAAGGGAAAATACCAAAGATAAAGATAACTATCACGAATAGAACAGCGATGAGCACTTGATCCAACACGCCGATCGCTTGTCCTACATCCCGCATGCTGGCTGCGATGGCCTTCCTGTCTCGTCCGATCTCGACAACTTTCATGATCATCTCGTCAAGGCTGATATCGCCGTTTCCATCGTTGTCGAGAGCGTCGAATGCAGCTTGTGCATCGTCCTTTCTTGCCGGGCCGAGAACCTCTTCGAAATCTTCTTGGAACAGTGCTTCCTTGCCTTCCACAACGAAAGACATCCACAACCTCTTCGCCAGTGCCTCTGAAGATCTCGTCTTCTCCAATGCCTCAACGACAACCGAGTGTGCAGAGGTAGGATTGAAGACTTGCTTGCCGGTAATCTCAGATGCGATGTTGCCGAATATCGAAGTGACTTTATCTCCAATGCGGCCAACTTCGCCAATGATCCGTAAAGGAGTGGCAGATCCGCTTCGCTTGTGTCCAAGTGCCCGACCCGTGCTCTTCGCAAGCATAGCTTCAATGCTATCACTAATCACATAATCCTCTTCGACGAACTCATCGCAATACATCGGGAACAATGTCCTGCTCGCGTCGTACAGCAAGCCCAGAAGATGAACATTCTTCTTGGACTCCTTGATCCTGCCATCGAAAGAGCGGCGGTGGTAATTGATGCTGATGAACTGCACAATCATCTTCTCGCCCAGTAACAGCAGCGTAGCAATGAACGCTGGCACCAGCAGATTCCTGACGACCGAGACCCAATGCTTAGAAGCCGTTCCCCGTCCCGTATTAATATCCGGCTGCATCAAGGCCGTGAAGGTGACCAGACAAGTAACAGACCAACCCACCAAACTCAATGGGATCTCCACTGCCTTCAACACCAGTGCATATTTTCGTGTACCGGAGGAGACGACCCCGCACAGGAACATAAACACATACGGCACCGCCTTTGAAGCCAGCTTGCTGATCCAAATACTGAGCCAGATAATCTCAAACCAAGTAAAGAAAACATAAACCCTGATACCCGTGTTGCCCAACAACGCTCTCGGATTCAAGACCGCATAGATCACAATCGGCGCCGCAATCAACAGTGCCACCGGCAGCACATACACAAAGTATCTCGTCACCACCGAGAAATTGACAATCTTTTTATAGAAGCGCCCAAGCCCATTGACCGAGACTTCCTCGCCATCTGTGCCAATGCGTTTGGGCTTGCTGTTGAGCTTCTTTAACTTTCGATGGCCGGCAGGTCCGCGCGCGAAGAAGCCTTTCTTTTCGTCGTCCGGTATGGTGGGCTCTGTGTCAAGAGGGGAGATGACGCCTTCGCCGGGCTTGCGGGCTCCGGTCGAGGAGCCGAGGGTGGACACTTGCTGGAGGGGGATGCCGGGCTCGTTTTCATAGCGGGTGCCCATGCTGGAGGAGTTATTCTGGGGGAGGGGCTGGAAGCCGCGGCGCGAGAAGTCGGTGGGTGTTTTTGGGCTGCGCAAGGACATATGGGGGTGGTGGTGTTGGAGCTATGCCTTCAGGGAAGGCTGTTCGAAGGTATGGAGGGGTTGAGTCGAGGATGGAATGTGGTTCGGAGGGTGATACAGGCAGGAGGAATTGGTCGAATCAATTGTGTTGTGCCTGCAGAACGAAGGTGAATGTATGTATATGGACTCGAGAAGGTAGTCGTACGGTCGAGGTAGTGAATAGGAATAGGGGATCCGCGTCAAGCGTTCTTGGGTGTTGGTCTATGATGTCGTCCTCGTGTTCCGTCTCGTCCCAACAAAGCAAAGCAAAGCCACCCGATTGATTCCCTCTGAATTCCGCACAAAGAGACCAAGCAACAGAAACGAGTGAAAGGAAAGCTCTTCGATTGCAAGAAGATGGAGAAGAGAGAGACTTGACTGTCTGCCAAACGAACGCGCAGCTGTGTTGGGTGTTCTGGTCCCTGGCTTCCCCACTCCTGATTTGATGATTTGAGGATATGTCAGCAAAGTTTCCTTTCGTGGTCGTGGGCTCTGCAAGGTACGCTGGACGCGAAACCTCGGCAGCCAATGGGAGGCGAGGGATGGCTGGGCTCGGCTGGGAACTGGTCGACGGGCGCGTTTCACGTCGAGCAAGGGGCTGAGACCGCACAGGAGGAGCTGGAGGTGGAGGAGGAGGTGGAGGATGAACGATTGGAGAGTTTGGGCTTAAGAGTGACACTTATGACATGTGACGGCGATGGATCTGCATTTCTATCAAATTTCAGAGACGGTGTTTGCCAATTCCAAAGCATGTTTGTTGCCTTTCCTAAATATCTCGTGTTGGAAAATACCTGGCAGTTGGTGGAGCTGAAAATGAATGGCAAGATGCAGCGCAGCACTCCTTTGCATGTGCGCAGCCAGCCTCGACCCGCAGCCCATAATTTTCTAAAATAGCCACCAATCTTTGCAGCCCGCGCCTTACATCGGCATTCTTCCTACACAGGCTACACAGCAAACTCTTCTGCAAACCAGCGAAGATTTCCCCTCCCGTGTTACCTAAACCCCTTTTCTATTTTCGTGCTGTCAATCGATCGAAGTTTTTCACTCCGCCCCGCCCCACTTGCCCGCCAAGACTTTCACCTTTCCTTCCCTTTCCCTTCCGCTGGGCTGAGGCTGGGCGCTACGGTACCCGATTGATTCGGATTGAGCCATCACCATCAGATCGAGCCAAACACGCGAGCACATCTGCATCCCAAGTCTAGACGCAACACAAGATGAGTGCGGAAGGAGAAGTAGACATGAAGGTTGATCCCTCGCGTGCGAAGGCGCTATCCTCCGCCATCTCCTCTGTCACACAGCGCATTGAGGCTGTTGCAGGCGGCAGAAATGTGAGTTGGTCTTTCTCAGTCACCTGATTCGACGATGGTGCGAGGAGGAACGGGGAAAGGAGCTGATGATAGAATAGGTTAGATTAGTGGCCGTCTCGAAGCTGAAGCCTGCGTCTGATATCCTAGCGCTGTATCAAGAGAGCAAACAGCTGCATTTTGGAGAGAACTATGCGCAGGAATTGATGGAGAAGGCGGCGGTCCTGCCGAGGGACATTAGGTGGCATTTTATTGGAGGGTTGCAATCAAGTAAGACCCTTCCATCCACCTCGTTTCTCTTTGCTTTGTTTTGGTTCTCTTTCGTTTTCGCTGGGGTGATTGCGGCAAGGTCACGTGTCCGGTGAATGTCGGGTCTGGGCTTGAAAAGCCATGAGGATCGCCACCATGAGGTGGCTGCAGAGTTTTGTTGCTCATCGTAAAAGAGGGGCTACTTCGTATGCTTTCTTTTTGCGGGATCGCCTCAAGACGTTGAGAAGTCTCGGTTTTGTTGCATGTCTGCCCCTCGGAACGGGCCGTTCTGCATAATGGGGTTGCATTGATGCGATGTTGTGGGGGTCACCTTTGAAGTCAAAGAGACAAGTGTAGCAGCCAAAGTCCGAAGGCCGAGGGAAATTTTGTGGGTGCCCAGTTGAAAGAGAGTACATTGTACCTGTCCTTCAGCTTGGCACGATGTATCAGTTTGAAATGGTTCGTTCAAGTTTGGATTGGTAAGTTCAAGTCTGAATGTTTCATTCAACTGGCGATATTTCTATCTATATTTCCCACTAAGACGGCCTGATTATTCTTCCGGTCGGAGGCTCCCATTAAAAGAGAACGTTCCAAGCGAAGATGGGGCTTCGGAGGCAGCAACGGAGGTCTTCCTCAAAGGTCACCCAAGCACAATTGATGTCACACCTCGCCAATTCAACGTTGGAGATCCATGAGACATAGACTGCACACGCTTGGGATGATCAATCCTCGTGTTTCAGAAAGGGACATGCTGCTAGACCAATCGCGATCATGGAACCTCCCATTTTAACTGCGGTTCATCTTGTCAGTTACTCTAAGATGTCGGACGGAGTCTGTCGGACGATTCATTTTAATTCAGATGCTTAATTTGCATGCATCCACCCCTTGCCAAACATACTTTCATTTGGTTCCGCCTGGTCTTTGAAATCGTCGACTGGTTGTCAGCTAGATTCAACTGAATAAGTTGGAATCGTCCAGAGAGTCAACAGCACTTTGATTTGACAATAGAAGACAGCTAGCGATAGCAATTTGGCTTTGCCCCTTCCAGGTAACGGCTGCTTACTTTTGATTCTGTTCTGCACTCGGCACTCAGGTACACTTGGCAGCTGCTAACAATGAGTAATGTGGCAGTGTGATAAGGCCGAGTCTCCATTCACAGCCTCAAACATCTCATCATCCATTCTTTGGTTATTTTTTTCCGCCTTTGCCATGCCGCGGGAAACTTTATACCTATTATTTTCCCGCTCACTCCTGTAGTTGGAGCACAACCATGGTTCAATGGTGTATTATATGTTTGTGGCATTTCGAATTCACAAGCTGCTGAAAGACATCCTTTGCTAACACGAAACGCCTAGATAAATGCAAACCCCTCACCTCCACAATACCCAACCTCTTCCTCGTCTCCTCGGTCGACAGCCAAAAGAAAGCAACCCAACTCGACAAAGGCCGCGCTGAACTTTCCTCCTCGCAACCCTCCACCTCCTCAATCACCCTCGGCCCACTCAACATCCACATCCAAATCAACACCTCGGGCGAAGAATCGAAATCCGGCGTAACACCCGGCCCCGAAGCCACCTCACTCGCGCGGCACATCCTGACCTCCTGCCCACATCTCAATCTCCTTGGTCTCATGACGATCGGCGCAATCGCGAGAAGCAAGGCGGCGAAGGAGGGAGAAGAGAATGAGGATTTCATCGCTTTGAGGGGGGAGAGGGATAGGTTGGAAGGGGAATTAGGGGATGAGTTGAAGGGGAGGAGACTGGAGCTGAGCATGGGGATGAGTGATGATTTTGAGGGCGCGATTGGGATGGGGAGTGATGAGGTGAGAGTGGGGAGTACGGTTTTTGGAGAGAGACCGGCGAAGGAGGATTTCAAGGTGAAGCGGCAGGTTGAGGCTGGGAAGGAGTGAGGGATCAATGCATAGGTGAGGCTGAATGCGCATAGAAAATTTTCACCTCTGCTAGGCGGCAAGGCTCGCATGGTGCGTTATCAGAAAACGCTGATAAACGTCAACAACTGTAAGACTAATTCATCTTTCCTACAGCACTGAACCGCTTAAAACATCGGCGAAAAGGATATAAAAGGGAAGATTCCCAAGGGAAACTTTCTACTGACAATGAGACGAATTCGGAGATCAAATCATGAGGGATGCTGGCCACGTTCATAGTCATTCTTTTAAATTTGCCTGCACCCATCAGCTCCTTTAGCTATTGAAAGAAAACACTGTACAGGAGCACTGGAGTGGTGGGTGAGAGGCAAAGTTTTTCGGACGGCATAGCTGACAATGAGCTTTTCGATGACAACAACACAGTAATGGGAGGAAGGCAATATCGGATGGGTGAAAACACTGGGTTACAGGACTCTCCCCTTCTTTCATCCCAGAAGCCTCCAAATCATCCAGGGAGGGGGCTCTCACAGGCCTCACAGCTGACATCCACGTGACCAGCCCCTGGCCCAGCGGTCCCGTTCCAGCCTAGCGCTCACTGGGAAAATGACCAAAAACTTACCAATCCATGTCCGCAGCGTAGCCACCGCGACCACACATCACCTCTCAGCTCAAAATCCATCACACTCTCCTCCTCCACAAAAAGTAAGCACGCACAATACCCATCAAAACAACGCGATCCCTTTTACGCATCTCCGATGATGAGAAGCGGGAGCGCTAGCCCACATCCATCTGAAGCTTGAGGCGCGGATTGAGGGACGGATTGAGACGATCACGGGACCTGCGGCGCAGCCGGGAGGATTTCAGCCGCGCAAGGACCAAGAAGAGCCAGTTCGAGTCTAACTAAGGACGAGCGTGAGCGAGTGGCGAAAACGGAGATCATGGTGAACGGGGGCGGAAGTGGCAGTGGTAGCCTCGCAGGAGGTGGAGGAGGCAATGGCGGAGCCTCGTCGAGCAAAGGCATGCAAGGCGGGATCTTTGCCCGAGAAGACGGGGCCAGCTGTCAAGATCCACCGGGCATCTTGCGAGAAGAGAGCGTCACCAAGGCGAGGAAGTGGAATACGGATATTCCCAGTATCTTGCCTCATGAGAGAGTGTTCCCGATTCAGATTGGTAGTGAGTTATTCCGGTTGAGTGGTGCGAGTATTAGTTCTGATGGTATGTATGAGAAGGGGGAGAGGGATGGGAAAGGAAGCAAGGCTGACAAACCTAGAGCACCCTCATACTTTTCCCAGTTTTTTCAATGCCAGTTGCAGCAAGCGGAAGACAACGGCGATGATTCAAACGCCATACGAACCCTATACATCGACCGCGATCCCGTGACATTCAGGGACATCTCCCTTCATCTACAGGGCTACCACGTTATGCCACGAGATGGTAGCCACTTCGTGAAGCTCTTCGCTGATGCGCAATTCTACAGTCGTACGTCCCCCATACCCTCACACCCAGGATCCAACTGACAACGTCCAGTACCAAGGTTAATATCCCAGCTATACGAAGAAAGCATCTTCATCTCCGTTGGGCAACGCGACTTCCAAGTCCCCCGCGAGCTCTTCTCCGACCCGGGCAACAGCCCCAACTACTTCTCCCTTGGCTTCGCCGTCTTCTTCAGCACGCCGACCGAAGTATTCCCAGGCCTGAACCGGGAAGGTCTACTGCGTCCCCCATCTATCATTCCGCCCGCAGTCCCAAACCGAAGCGCTGACACATTCGCCGAGATCCTGCACCTACTTCGCGGCTACCCCCTGCACATAAAAAACGAAGACCACCGCGCCGAGCTTCTGCGGGACTGCAAATACTTCCACCTAAAAGGCCTAGAGCAAAAACTCATCAGACATTCAATAACATTCAACCTCGCGCGCAACCGGCACGAAATCACCTTACGACTAGACGACGTCCGCCAATCCGGGATCTCCGTCGTCAGCGACCTATCCACGCCTCCCCCTCCCGAGCTCTCTACAGCCTCATCCGCACCCTCCTTCTCGCCTCCCCCGGTATCAGGCTGGGTGAACTACGCACGCCCCTTCGTCGACGACCGCGCGTACGAACTCGTGCTCGAGATCGGCGACGAGTGTACCCGTTTACACTTATCAAGTATGCGCTGCGAGTTCTTCGGCGACGGGAAAACGAGAGTGAGCAGACTATTCGAGGTCATTGCTACAAAGTTGAATCTGCCGACGAGTCAACCATTAGGGTTGCTGATGAAGAAGGGAGGGGCGAGCAGTCAGCCGGCGAGCCCGGGGAATACGCCGATTAGCGAGGATTGGGTGAGGTGTGTGCTTGGGGAGGAGAGCTTTGTGCGGCTTGATGGGAGAGAATGGCGGGGCCATACTTCGGGCCTTGAAGACTCGATTTGCGGGAATCGCTCAGCGGCCACCTCCGGGGATGAAGGAGACGGTGGCGGTGGGTTGTTGCATCCCAGTCAGCCGTCGAGAAAGAGGAGGAGGACGGAGATGAGTAGTGGGGGTGGGGAGGAGAAAGAGAGCTGGGTTGTTAAGACGGGGCAATGGAGACTGAGGGTGCAGAATGCAAGGAATGGGAAGGGGGGCATCGAGTGTGTGCTTGTTGCTGTGAAGATCGATGCTGTGAGCGGGGAGCGGGGGAGGAATATGCAGAGGTTATTCTTGGCGGGGTAGATTCTGCTCTCCTCCTTTTGGCATAAGCCGGGGTGCACATGGGTGGAGGTTGCGTAGATTTCTGGAAATTTTTGAGAAGATTATTGGGTTTAGGGATGGGGATGCGCAGGAGAGATGGTGGGTTTGGGTAGACGAGTGTATTTATGTACTTCTATATCCATGCATTCACGTACTTTCTTCGTGCAGTCCGGCCATTCCCATGCCTCCCCCCTTCCTTTCCCTCCTTTCCCATAGTATAGCGCAAGTGCCGTGTCCTTCTCCCTATCCAGATTGCTTTTGTTTGCCTCGGCAGTCCCAGCAGAGCAATATCTCTATAAAGGTCCCCTTCTCTCCAAACTAGAGAGCAACCAACAGAAAGACCTCAATCGTTCTTGGCCCTTGTCTAGGCGCTCTAAGCCTTCCGTACTTGGGCCCTTTCCCAAACTTCCCCACCGCCTCCCATCCCAACATTCTCCCCCCGAGTTCTTCAATGTTCTTTGACCTCCTAAGAGGATAGAGATTGCAGGCTAAGAAATTACGGGATGGAAAATTGCTGTCATTCCACTCTAATTAGTCTCAAGTCAAGACGAAGTAAGATCCAGTTCTGAAGAAATGAGTAGGTCCTACTGCCATATATCAATTCCACTTCTATTCTTACACAAGCTGCGCCTGTCAGTTAGTTTCATGCCGCAATGTGCAACCCACACCATGCCAGTTCCGAGGTCTGACCTCGATTGGAAGCTTCGGGAATTCGATTGAACCGGCTCAGAAATCTCAAGCTGTCACTCTTCTTCATTTTATAGTGCAGAGCGTTTACTTTTATATTTCTCAGTCGTCGGCGGCACTGTTTCCCTTAATTCGAGAGAGGGGGAGGGGTGGTGTAGCTAAGGTTTATACCAATTCTATGCCAGCGAGGGCAGGAGGAATCACTTTAGCGTTATTTCAGAGAAGGGAAAGAAGGATGGGTTTCAACTGTAGACTTCTCTGTCTTTATACTGCTTTGGGGTTGCTAGATAAGATATTCATTTTATCTTCATGCTTTGTGGGTGAATAGCTCGGATTTGCGGGTACAAATAACTCCTTTATGCAGGCATGCGAAATACAATTAAGGAACTTGGCACGAAGGAGAAGGCTGGTGGGGGAAGGATAGCGTGGGATGCCGGGTGAGGTTCCACTGTGCTCGGTGATTGCAGTTCCATTGTGGCCAGCCAGATTTGGAAGGCGAAAGTGAGGCAGGCCAGAGTTCAAGAGGTGAGAGATAACGGACAATATTGACTGTCAACCTTTTCTTTTCTGTCTCTCCACATGTGACGATTTGGCCTTTCTGTAAAGTGTTTGAACCTTCTAGCTGTAAATGAACAGCGCAAAAGACTCTCTAGTTGAAGATTGTCTTTCTTAGTGCCTCCCACCGCGATGCGATAGCGAAAGACGCAGCCGTACTCCTTGAAACAAATGCTTACCAAATGTTGCAACCAACTCTCAAGGGGTTATATTTCAGCATGTCGATATAATCTCTAGCTCGGGCTCCAATATCTTGCCGGCTCTCGAAAGATGACTTTAGATTGACTATCCGGCACAACTACCCTTATTTATTCGCGTAGAATCGGCTATTTCTGGTGTTTTTTTCATGCATGAGGGACCGTGCCTAACTGCAAATGGGGCTGTGCATGTTTGCGTAACATCCATTAAGCGCCCACCTTGATCCTCATCGACTTGTTCCTCCTTTAACATCACTTACCTTTCTCATCAAAAGCCTATCAACAGAAGCCATTGTAGAGTCTCTTCTATCAAGTGTTGCTTCCTTCCACCCAATCCATTGATTTTAATCTATCTCCACAAGCGTTAGAGTGTCACAAACCAGCCAGGGCTGCAAGGCTGCCACAATGTCCGATCTCCAAGTCCTCTCCCGCACAGTCCAAGACCTCCAACTTAGTATTGGACGCATCACCAGTGAGAGAACAAGCGTGGATCGCGTTAGAGCGAATTGTCAAGTGCAGATCAACCGGTTGCGAAACATCCAAGCCGGGCTCAAAAGTCAGGCTACGCCAGGTCGGCTCTCCTTCTTTCTCCTTTGCTCCATTCCGCGCCCATCTTACCAATCACTGAACTGCCACTCTCGCGAAAGTAGATCAGATATGAGACGACGAAGCTGATTAGTTGGTGTTCTTCAGGTGCGCAAAAACTCCGCGTCGACCTCACGATGTGGGAGAATCGGTTCCGCAGCGCAACAACGCAGTTCCAGAACTTGACGCAGAGACTGGAAACAACCGTTAATCAGAGGAAGAATGCACAAGGGAGGTTGGAACAGATGCAAGAGGTGCGGAGGAGACAGGCTGCTGCGATGGCGGCGCGGGGACGTGGGCGTGGACGAGGTAGGGGATATTGAAGTGGACAGTGGCTACTTGTTATAAGTAGGGGGTGAGAACTGGGTCTGGTATCTTGTGCTTTCCTTTTCATGCGGCTGAGGGGGTGGACGATATTGGTGCTTTTCTTTTCAACACGTAAGTGTCGTATGGTAATGATAGGCTAGTCTGGCCCGCGGGATTTGAATTCCTGATTATCAACAATTTTGTAGTTGGCGGCGTCCCCACAAACTTCGAAATATTGGGTGATTTTAAGTGAACTCATTTCACACCTCTTCCGGCACTCTAATTCTCGGCTAGGAATTCCACTTGTGATGAGAGGCATCTCCCGAGAACAGCGGTGATCTTTCTTTTCGGCAGCGATCAGAGGCTGGTCGCACACCTCTATAGAATAGAATGTGACTTGAGGCTGTAAATTACTTCGTTTCTGGTCTGATAAGGGTTGACTACATCTCGACTAATACTCCTTCCGTCTGAAACCTGAGTCTTCTAGCCTGAAATTCGAGGTGAGTGTTTGCGGGGAGAGTGAAACCAAAGTGTGGGGTTTGAATATCCACCTACGGGGATCTGGGGAACGTTGGGCAGGCAAACGTTCCACTTTGTGCATACCCTAGGCGGGCTGAATACAGGAGGGAGGTTCTACTGGAGGATGATTCCAGGTGTTCTATAACGGACCGATTACTGGGAATTCCAGGGATTCGGCCCTGGTGGTTCGGGGGACCCAGTTACTTGGCAGCTTCCTCATTCCACACACAGCATCCCCACCCCGGTTGTGCCTCCTGCATCGTGTTCCATGCTGCTCCGTAGATGTCGAACCCCCTGGATTGGACGTTCTTATTCCATATGTCTTTTCAAAGATGCCGAAGAGAGTGCGAAGGTCATATGCCTCAACTTTGCTTTGCTCGTCTCTCTTTAGCGCACCAGTGGTGCATGCTTCAAGTCCATGCACCAAAATAGGGGTGAGAACTCAACCCAACACTTCAAAAAATATAAAGATAGATTCAACTATACAATGTTAAAATGGGGCTTGACAGCAACCTTAAAGATATGGCTACACGGCTTGCACCCACCATTGCCCCTCTGGTCTGCCTGAGTCTGCGTAATCCTCACCAATAAACACTCAGCCCCACGAAATCAGCACCGTAATTCACCAAACCCGAACTCCCGTAAACGTTACCCACAACAACGTTATTGTTCCCATCAGTCCACCCCCCCAATAACACTCCAAATACTCCTGTATCTTCCCAACCATACCCTGGGCTAAAGAGCTCACTGCTTCTTCCACTCAACGGCAGCTCGACTCTGGTCGTCACACCATTAACCGCAATCGTCATGTTCCGCGTATTCGTGCCATAATCCCAAGAGGTTTGAAAGGCGATTTCGTTATTGCAGAAATAGATTTCCACATACTTACTTACTGCCAAACCAGAAGAGGTCTTGTATGGGGCAGGAATTGAGAGTGAAGCGGAGCCGGTAGGTGTCAAATAGCCGATTTTTGACCCGACGGGCTTGCAGAGGCCGGTGTGGCATGTGGTAAGTATTGAGGATCCTGACACTTTGAAAGATGTGGACGGGTAGAAAGTTGAGTTTGGAGGAGTGATTGAAAGCGAAGTTGGAGGAATAGGTGAGGTTATGATGATAGTATTGTTGTTCGTGGCGTTGAGAGAAAGAGGAACGGTCAGGTATGAAGAATCGGTTAATGTGTAAGGGTTCCCATTCACAACCACGGAAGCTGCCGTCTGTTTATCTTTGAAGCTGAGAAGAGCAGAGTAGTTTTGGCTTGTGGTAGAACCAAAGATCTTGCCAAATGTTGTGGTTTGCCTGTCCCAGTCAGCATTTGTATATCGTCAAACTCCATTAGACTTACCCCACTGTGACAGCATTGGAGGAGTCATAAGATCCTGCACTGACCATCTCACCTAGTTCCAATAGAAGCGTTCCATGTGCTTTTACCAGAGCCGTGTATGAGGTGAGAGCATTCGCGACCGTGACTCCATTCCAAATATCTTTGACCAATCCAGCCTTTTGGACCCCAACATCAGGAAGATCTAATGTCAAACTTCTATCGGTATTTTGAAGGTTTATGAGAGCGACAACCATTCTATTTCCACTTAGTGGGCCAGCCCAAAGTTCGTAGCCCGCTTCCGTCCATCTTCTTCTGAAGCTAGCTGCAACACCCAGACTGTCTTGGTTATAACCGATGATGTCCTTGTTCTTCAGTATTGCCAAGGAAGCCTGCGAAATACTGCTGTAAGTATCTTTTAAGGCTGCTCCAATGACCAATGGACTCTTCAAAATTGCCCAGAGCGAGAAGTGCGTTTGTTCCTCGGGAATCGTGAACACGCCATTTCCAACCTCGAGCATGTCAAGATCCAGCCAATGTCCCGGTCCAGCAAAATCTGTCTGAGGAACCACTTGATTCAGAATTCGAGGGATCGTGCGAAAAGCTGGGATGATATCGTTCGTGACACGCCATGAGTTACCCAGTGCGGGAGCCCACAATGCAGGAAAGTCGACTCCCCAATCACAAATCTGGAAGAGTATTGGACGGTTAGTTGCCAAAATAGCGGCGGTCATGTTAGCGTAACGGCCGGACGGCGACACGGCGGGTGTGTAGTCAACGTTTGGATATCCAGTTGCTGCTTCTGAATAGCAGTCGTCATCTAAGGAGGTTAGCTCTCGGAGTGCACAATGGTGGGGCTCTGACACTTCAACAAATCTGCTCCCCATGCAGCAAATGTCTCCGCGTCGATGCGTTCATGAACTGAATGAGATCAGCATTTCGTTGTTCTAAAAAGATATCCAGGTACATACATAAGCTACCGACTTGAGTGGGTGATCCAGTCATACAGGTTTGAATTCCAGCATCTTGATAGACCCCAAACCCCAAACCAAGACCATGGATAAAATTTCCCAAGGCAGGATAACCACTAGGAAATCTTGCTGGATTCCACGTCAAGGTACCGTCTGCGATTCTGTCCGGTAAAGTCCATCCACAATCTACAGTCACATAATGATAACCCAGAGGCTGCAGGCCCAGGTCTACGAGAGCTTGCGCGTTTGCATGGATAATGCTCTCGTTTGGGGAGCACGAGTAATGGTTATAAGAGTTCCATCTGCACTTTTCGTCAGTTCTGGAATCGATAGCGGTTCGGGAAGGCTACCCCATCGGCGGCGTAATGGCCAGACCATTATTGAGTCCTGGAGAGAGAGATTCATGTGTGACATTTATAAGTGAGAAGAAGGGCAGAGTTAGCTGCTTGAGAGAAAAACGGGTTGACATTGAGAAGACGAGAGGGAAACAAGTTGTAATGTGAGATGTCTTGAAACGAATCTTGGTACTTACTACATACGTAGAAGTTGAGTTATATATTAGAACTTGACGGTGAGCCAAGCCAGGAAGAGAGGTTTCCTCCGCAAGCAAAATATCTCAATCCGGCTTTCGGTTGAATGGTGGGGGACCCCGCATCAACGGTCCTCCCCCGATGCGCTCCAATTAGAAGCAACTTCTCCGGCAGATCTCTGCGTTTTGGGTGAAGCGCTTGCAGGAACCGGAGAATGTTACATTTTAAGAGGACTGAATTAACCTGGTTACCTGCATTGTATCGGTGACGGTATGGCAGCGTAGATGGTGGTCCTCGGGCTGTACCGGCAAACTTCACTTCGCCGGAATAATTACCGAAAAATCCCAAAACATCCCTATTGAAGACTCTTGCTTCCGGGAATTGGCAGCTTGAACAATTTCTCGACTTCAATTAACATTTCCTTGACAAACAATGATTTCCGACTAAGTGATACGCTGACATTTTAGGCATTATACTCTATATTTCCGCATATGCAGTGCCACATTCGGGTATGCACTGTCCTCTATATCTCTTTATAAAGCCAATTCAAAAATTCAAAAATTCAAATACAAAAATGATTTTAAAGTGGGAGGGCAGTACAAACTACTAGTATACGAGAGATGAAACCGGAAGAGGGGGGACAAGCAGCGATGATTATAGCAACTTGCCTGCCCAGAAGACCAGCTAGTACAAAAAAAAGTACATGGTTATCGTCGTTGAGAACAAGTTGAATGATAAGGGGAGAAGCTTTGCTAGGAGAGTTGAAATGTTGAACTGAGAAAAGAGAGACAGGAACTTTTGTCTACCTTATAGGATCTCTTTCGTCGTTGAGGTATACGAGGTGTCTAGCCAAATATTTCCTTTATTTTCTCCAAGTACAGTTTGAGACAGCGGGATTAAGATTATTATGTAGGATTCAGAACCCATCCCGTCCTACCATTGTGTGCTTTCAAGCTGCCTGTATGCGTAATCGTAAGAAGTAAAGCGCACCACTCAACGAGCAGCGGGCTATATAGGACTAGCTCGCCTCCGAAACCTAACGAAGCTCCTTTTTCGGCTCCGTAGCCAGCGGACGAGGTAACGATGTAAGGTTACTCGCAGGCATTTCCGCACCCGGTTCGGACCAGCTCGCCATGCTCGCTAGTGACACCAATTCCGACATCCCAACAACCCCGACATCGATTTTTTAGTCTCTATTAGATTAAAAAACAACCATACAACTAATAAGGATTTTGTTTATATATAATTATAAGCTATAGTAGACTCTATAATCGCGCAATAGAATATTTTTTAATATGATTAGAAGTATCCACTAGCCAACTGCCCAAACCCCCATCCGCCCGCCCCAAAAAAATCGATTTTTAATCACACCTTTATTATAATTACAAATCCTTTAATATATTAATAAGACATAGTATTTTCAATATCCTAACAAGTATATATTTATTTTAATCTTGTAATACGGCTAGAATCGCCTATTAAAGTTGGATTTTTATTTTTTGGTATGCGGCCGCACCCAATAATTTTTAGTAAGCCGGGCATATACCAAAAAAATAAAAATTCAACTTTAATAGGCGATTCTAGCCGTATTACAAGATTAAAATAAATATATACTTGTTAGGATATTGAAAATACTATGTCTTATTAATATATTAAAGGATTTGTAATTATAATAAAGGTGTGATTAAAAATCGATTTTTTTGGGGCGGGCGGATGGGGGTTTGGGCAGTTGGCTAGTGGGTACTTTTAATTTGACTATTAGTATTGCATGGCAACTGCGTGCTAGTGGTCACGTGTTGGTTCACGTGACCGCATTCACTGTATTTAAGCTTTGGCCACCCGTGCCACACCTCCTTTTCCTCGAATCTATCTATATATTATTATTATAATATAATAATAACGTTTTATTATAATAATTAGTTACTAATTTTACTACCAAATTAATTACTATACCACGGGGCAAGAAGCATAAGACTAAAGCTATTAATACTCAGATAATGCAAGGAGATATATAGACTCTTAGTTCTAATAAAAAAAATGGAATTTAATATTAATAAATATAGTAATTAGTTAATAACTGCAAACTAATTTCTTTAGAGAGTATAGTTAATATAACTGCTTCAAATTGCATAATTAATAATTTGTACTATAATTTTCTTATATCGCAAAAGCTCTATTATATAATTATAAACTTAATTAGGGGATATAATAATCTAGTTTTATTATTGCAATATCTTATGCGGCTATTTTAATAATTAATATTTTATCGCAAATGTCGGAGTTGCTGGGTCCGACTTGCTAGTGTAAGTCGGCCCCAGCAAAGCGAGGAATTGCCGACGGGTACTTGAACATCTATCAGGCTATTAGAAATGCTGGGTCAGTAAGGAGGAGAGGCTTGCTTATCACCTACATCGATTGGTTCGGCGCTGTGTAGCCGTAATGTGTGCTGTGGGTCAGCCTGCTCGGTGGCTGAGCAGCGCACAGCCTCGCAACTCCAAGCCGCTGAACAAGTACGACACAAAACTCGGAGTCGTCTCACACGTCGCTACGTAGCCTTCTCCTTCTACCACGACAAATGCTCCAGCTTCACAATTATTAGGAAGCCTCTGTGCGCCGTCTCCGAGTCTACCAGAGGTGTGAAAATTATGCTTCCATTCAGACACAGCTCTGAAGTCGCTCTCTGGCCAACACAAGGAATGTCTGGTAAGGTCTTCCGCTGGATTGGAATTTACTGACAGTTTTGCACTGTTATAGCAGGTCCACAGTCTCCATCACAACATCTACCTATTGCAGAGGGAACGCCTGATCTTGCGATCCTCCCGACCATTTCACGCGATACAACCCAGCTTGGGGGGCCAATATTCAAGCTCATCGAGCACACCCGGCTGACAGGCTTGGGCACAAGTACCTACCCCAACCTCCACCACCTCCAGATTGGTCAGGCGGAGACAGTGTCCCAGAAATAGCGTTCTCCGAGAGATCATACGCGGTTCAAGGGAGAACAAGTTCTGGCTCGGAATACTCGAGCGATGACTCTGATGATTCGCCCATCTCTGAAGATTACTCGGATAACTCTCGGAGGCAGTATAAGTGGCGAAAGAGACTGTGGGAAAGAAAGTCCGCATTAGTGTCGAGGGACAAGCGCAGAGTTGCAGGCATGGCGCCTGGATTCAACCAAATTTCTTCGAGCCTACCGGATCTGAGGTTGTACGAGAAATGGGATGCAAGAACAACGCTGAAGGTACTGCCTCAAGTAAACTTCATTTCTTTCCCACTTCCAGCCGGTGTAGTTTTAGTAATGCTCGTGGTAATATTGACAAGCAGTGTAGGAGATGATGAAATTAAAAGATTCCAGGACCACAGCCAAGAGCAAGAGAAAAGCACCTCGGGACGGAAAGGCCTCGAGCCGTCTGCCAGATCTTGAGGGCATTTTAAGTCGGTCCATTGAGGAGTACGCTGGTTGTAACCTATTTGATGACAGTACTCAGTCTCTATTATATGGGCACCTACTCGATACAATTGCCCGACTACGCGGTGAGGTGGTGCACCTCGGGGAAAAAGCCAGGAAGCCGCGACCACCTTGTCTCAAATGTGTAAAGAAGTTGGCCCCGGTGCCTAAACCGGTGGAAAAGCCGCCCGTTCGATTTCAGATTCTCCACCGAATTTTCTGTGCCAGTATGTCTCATAGTCATGACCGCGCAATTTATGAGGACGAACCAACCAGAAGAAGTACTAGTAGCGGGCTCAGGGGGGACAAAAGAGTGACTAATATCGACCAATATTGCACTCAACACAAGGATTTGTCCTTTATTCTCTTTAAGGAGCATAGTTGTGTTATGTCTAACATGTCAGCGCACAATTTTATGGACAGAGAGAATTTCCGGATTTCCAGTCGAAAGGAACGCTTGCTAGTTGTGTCTGACATCTTGCAGAAGGCACTCAACCAAGTTGCACTATGCTCTCCACAAGACACGAAAGACGATCCTGGACTAATACACATGCATGCGCCGTACTTATTCTTATATCACCACAGAGCTCTTCTATCGGATCTCGCGGCAACGACAGGTGGCGAAACGGAAGAGCATGTTTCCCTACTGCTATCATTCATTAATGAACATTATAGAGATGAGTATAAAGAAGCCGAAAGACTATTCAACACTGGAATTATTACCAAAGAACACGTCGAAAAACTTTACCGTCCGAACAGCATTGTAATCGATAGTACTGGACCCCAGGACCGCGCTTATGTTATAAAATCATGGCTCGAGGTCGATGAAGGGGATATGAAGCTCCTTTGCTGGTCATGGGAATACGATGGTTCATTCCTCAGGAGAGGGGAAACCCACTTGAAGATGAATGCGCCATCAGTTGCGGGTTCTGCTTCGAGTGTCATTGGTGTTTTCCCCATCTCCATGGCCGACCACGAAACTCTTGAGAACCTGAGACTACGAGGGCAAAAGTTCTGGTCTATGAAAGGGCAACATTTTACATGTTATTCTGGCCATGACGTCGCCAAAATGAGGCTCCATGTAAGTAATGTTTGGCATTCTCGATGCACTAACTAACCCCCTTGTCAAAGCACAAAGCAAGATTCATGATAGATACGTCTACCTACTTCAGGATGCATCAGCCTCAGTCCCCAAACCCTTCTCATATCGTCCCGCAATTTGACCCCTGGCCTCCATTCATCCCTCGCAAGGCTGCACCAGATGACTCGTCGATTCTCTGGCTTCCGCCAGTTGTCCACGCATTTGATCTATAAGATAAGAAATGGGGTATGTAAATACCCCTGTGGCATATTTCGTTCTTTAACATGGACACTTGATAGTGAAGCTCTATATCGAACAACTCCATCCCATTCAATGGAATAAGAAAGCGTTTGATCAACTTGTTCTAGGGAAGAGGACCAAGGGACTTGTGAAAGCACTTGTGGAGGCCCGAATCTCCTCAGAAAGAATGGAAGATGTCATTGAAGGGAAGGGCAAGGACTCATTATGCTATTGCATGGAAGCCCAGGAACCGGGAAGACACTAACAGCTGGTAAGTCTCTTTATGGCGAACTTGATAGCCCTTGCTAATAGTATCATCAACAGAAAGGTTGGTCCCTTGACCCAGCGTTGAAAGATGTGATGCCAACCACGTTGATGTTCTTTAAGTGTGGCAGAAATTGCTGAGAAGCCGTTATACCGAGTCACTTGCGGTGATCTTGGGACGAAAGCAACTGATGTGGAGAAGTATATGCAGACCGTCCTTTACCTTGGAAAAACATGGAACTGCGGTAAGTTTCAAGAGCACTTGTGTCCTCGAGAAAAGTTTCTGAACTGACTTTCACAGTCCTATTTCTAGATGAAGCGGATGTGTTCCTTGAAGAAAGGACAACTGGTTATGCTGATCTGGAACGCAACAGTCTAGTTTCCGGTAATAACCCCCCCACACATTTATGTGCTTAGCTAATATATACTCAGTCTTTCTTCGCATCTTGGAATACTACGACGGCATACTCATCCTTACTAGTAACAGGGTTGGGATTTTTGATGAAGCATTCAAATCACGAATTCAAGTATCTTTGCATTACGAGGATCACACAGCTTCGGCACGCAAAGCGATTTGGAAGAATTTTATCAATATACTAGAGAGTTCTAGTGCCAATGCGAACATTGGTGAACTTGAAGACCATCTTGACGAGCTTGCTCAAGAGGAGATGAACGGCAGGCAAATCAGGAATGCGATGACTACCGCTAGACAGCTAGCGCTACATCAAAAGGAGCGATTAGATTGGACACATCTTGAACAAGCGCTCTCAACTGCCAAGGAATTTGATCGGTATCTGAAGGTGCAAGGTGGTCACTCTGATAAGCAATGGGCGAGGGATAACCGGTGGAGATAATTCATGTATATTAATAGAGGAATCTCCGAAGAGCGGTTTGTCCAATTGCCAAAGTACGACTTGAACGATTTACTCGCTGCTTTGAGAGACCCGCAAGCCGACCATGAATGTTGATTTGATAGATACTTTCCGAATCCTGGTTACTTAGACCACGAACTGGTCTCCAAGAAGCTAGCACTAATTTAACACCCGGTCTCGAAGAGAGCATCAGACGAAGTCGCATTAAAAATGCGTTTGCGCGAGTGCTGTTATCGTTGACGACGGCATTGATCAAAGTCATGTCAACAACGATGTACAGATGATAAATACCCGCCAAACATCGAGCCAACAGCTCAAAAGTGCGCTCCGCAGCCTCAGATTCCTGCGACCCAATATCCTGGAAGTGCGGAATCATCACTGGAAAGTTGCCTTCTGCCAGGACTCGCGGGCTGACTTCAAGAATTTGCATGACCAATACCAATAGAATGTCGCTCAAAGAGCAAACCTTCTCGTCAAAAATATTGGTGTGAGGAACGATCCATACGACGGGGATACTGTTTGCTCGTAAGATATCCACGTAATCAACTGCGAAATCTGTTGAGCCAGTTCGGAGCCTTCGTGCTTGGGCGTTCAGAGTTGACGGTGCTTCCCGGCTACTATACCACCACTGCAGCTTTGCTATCTCGTTCTCATCCATCAAAGCAGGTGTCTTTCGTCGATTACGAAGAGAGCGACAGAAATCCAAGGATCCAACCGAGCTTGGAAGGCCTGCGATGATTTTCAGCGACCTGATTTGTGCCATTTGCGAGCTCTGAATCCACTCTGCTTGCCCTGCGAGATGATTCGATATATTTGTAGACATCGATAGTTGACGGTCAAAGTTCACTATTACCGAATGAGCTACTCGCAAGGTCATGAACTCGGAAGAGCAAACTACTTTTTGATATTTCCGAGAGATGGAGGACTTGCATATGAAGCCCTCTGATTTCAGCTCTCGACGCTGCAGCTGCTTCCTTGTCGATATTCCGAGAAGCTTCGGCGATTTCCTCAACAATATCCTTGAAGCTTAAAGAGTATGGTCTGGTAATTGGGGAAAGCGAATGTTTAATCTTGCCTATCTTATACTATTTGACCGCATCCTGAACGAAGCACATTATTTGGACATACAGTTGTGCTACGACACGATTCATGCGATCTGTTTGGTACAAACCCAACGCAAGCTCAGCTCGAGGCAAGACGTCTGCTATCCTCGATACAGTCTTCGATATTTGCGTCAGCAGGTCTTCGTGGTTGATTACGGCCTACGAGTTTAAAGGTTAGCTGCTAGCTTAAGATTAGCCTCAGTGACTGGCTCACAATGAACAAGAACTTGAGCGCTCCCCAAGCAAGGGAAACGTATTCCGGATGATGCTGAGACAAAGTATCCATAATGACCCCATAGTATATCACCCTCTTGGAACAATTTGCCAACCATTTCCGAGCCTTCGACTGTCCCGACCGATTCTGGTACTTCTCTCTGGCTGCAATAACAGCCTCCTCTACATCATGAATTGTCATTGTCTTGGGTGGGAAGATCAGGTTATATTCCTCATCGTTTAACGAGCGCCGGAATAGAGTCCGGGCTTCAAGGTAGGCCGTTTTCGCACATTCAAAACCCCTAAGTTCACGTTTATTAAAAGGTCTGTACTGGGTTTCAATCTGGCTTCTGACCTTTCTTGTGTATCTTTCGCATACCATGTTGACACCCTTTGTTCTGGGTAAACCGAAGGAAGTTGGGCTGAAAACAAAGTGGTAGCCTGGAGAGTCGAATTTTCAAGAAAATGGCTGTCATGCCCACTTCTGGCAGTTTCGTTTGCCTGCAGCCTTGTCAAACATTTCACGAAGCCGGTGCTGGGAGGATGGTTACCATGGCTACTCATCTGACGATTTTGGCGCTAACCTCTTGCGAGGTCTGGCAGTCGTTAAACAGGTGTTGTCTCTGGGTAGATTGTTTGGAAAGCGGCAGGTTGGAAGGTTGAGAAGTGAGGCTGGAGCCTCAAGCCTGGAGCCTCAAGCCTGGAGCCATGGAAGCGCTCGGCATTTCTGCCAATGGCAAATGCCCCCTATAGCCTGGCTCGCTCGTGGGGGCCGACATAGCGGGGCATCCAATGCACCTCTAGCTCAGGCGCTAATCACCCTCGGCTCAGTCAACTCGCCTGAGTAACCTGAGCAGCCCACCTGAGCAACCTGAGCAACTCACCTGAGCACCCTGAGCACCCTGAGCACCCTGAGCACCCTGAGCACCCTGAGCACCCTGAGCACCCTGAGCACCCTGAGCACCCTGAGCACCCTGAGCAGCTCACCCAAGCTAAGCCTAATCATCCTGAGCAAGATTTGCTACATCGTCACGTGTTTTGACTTCTCGTTTTTAGCCAATCGCTCTTGATCTGACCTCTGTTCAAGTAGCGGTGGGCAGGGTTTAGCGTGGCACCTCCACAAACCAGCCAATCTAATTGTCGCTGCTCTGACCCACTTCTCTCCACCAATTACAAATGGCAAGCTTTCAGGCGCTTGTGCGATTCACCAACAACCTCACTTCTGAAATACCGATACCCTCAACCCTTCTTCTTCATTTCTATTGGAAAGTAATCGATTTATTGATGGAAAATCGATATATTGGAGTTTGACAATCTGTAGAATGACTAGATACAGGAGAGTGAAGAGTAAAAAAGGAGAGGAGGGAATCTAAAGTACAGTTCTTATATACCCACTAGTGGGTGGCGATTTCCTCCAGAATATTATAAATCAGATGACTCATATATATTAGTGAGCGTTCCCTGAGCTTCCATAGTGAGCTATTCCATAGGCTTCCATAGTAAACTATTATAAATGAGAGTGGCGAAGCTAATATTAGTAATTGAACCTGGTACTGGAAGGACTAGTAAGCTAGTACCAATTCAACAATTTCCATCCGCTCCTTAGCTATCTCATGTCGCCGTCTGCATATCAAAGAATCAAAACCTCGAAGGAGAGCCGCAGAAACATATATCGCAATGCCAGAGACTGCTCCTCCGCCCCCGCCCCTTGGTTGGCAGGACACGGACCCCTCGACTCTCCCAGAGTTCCTAAAAAACCTACCTCCTGCCCTGATGTGTCACAATATCCGCAATTTCCAAATGACAAACCGTCATCCTTTGGGGGGCGTGGTACTCTCGAAGCTCGGCAAGTAACGCGCATTCTCGAGAATGCCAGGATCCCGTGCTGCATTTGTGGGATCGGTGCCCTGATATATTATGGTGCTGCCCGAGTAAAGAATGTACGTGATCCTAACACTACCAAAGAATAATCATTATTATTCTGATTTTGCGTTCTAAATGTTCTTGTGTTTGCCAGGATTGGGAAATTTGCGTACCCTCCGAGTCGAAGGATAGAGCTGAGGCGCTGCTGAAGTCGGAGAATTACATCGACGAGTACATTTCTCTACCACCATGGCCATTTACGGGCGTGGGATCCCTTAGTTATACTTATACTCGCTTCAAGTTTACAGGAGTTTCATTCTACTTTGTCTTGGTTCCGTCGAAAGACATTCATCTTCCCTGCGAACCCCAAAACTTTCAGCGAAGTCATAACGATCTACCTTTCCCTAAGTTGGATTTATTGATCCAGAGTTTCCTCGAAATGAACGACCACGTGTCTTTAGCCGATGCTATTGACGGTAGCAACGTATCTGAAAAATGGGGTGTCGAAAATCTTGACTTGGAAGGCGAAGTGGACCTGGGTTGGGCGGAATGGAAGAACAGTATCATACGACAAAAAGATGGGAACGGGCCCCACTTTGGATTGAATCCAATAAGACAACATGTTGAGAAACGTTGGCTCTGGGAATTCATGGTCAGGAATAAAGGGGGAAGACGAGGGTGGACCCAGCCCACGGAGCTGTTCGCCACTCGGTTTCGACTGCACGGCGACTCTGATCCGTGGCTGGAGAAGAGAGATAATTGCTAGAAAGATAATCACATCACCTGGTTCTCAAAACTTCATTCAAACCCACCATTCTTCCCCAACTTCTTCCACTTTCAATAAGCTATGATATAATCATATTATATTTCCTTGTGCCGTGTTCGACTTCTGGTAACCCAAGTAATCTATATCTATTCAAAATGACTGTGGCCGGGAGAAGGGTGATACTGGTAATTCACGGGGATGCCATGGTTCTGTTTACGGGGAATGAATTATGAAGAGCCAAAGAAAAGAGCAACAGAAGTTACCAAGGAGTCCAAGTACAAGAAGGGAGCATGATAGTTCTGCTAACAACAGTCCGAACTAAAAGAGATCAAGTGAAAAGAAACCAGGAAGACCAGTCAAATGACAACAAACATACTGAAGATTACGTGTAGAATCAGTGAAAGGGAGTGAACAACAAGTGCGGGCTACATAGGAAAGCAGTCAATCAAGTGCAATAATACAACCTGAGAAATCCATGTATGCCAATATATAACTAGCCAGTCTAATCCAGACCCAATATCGTTCTCGCATAGTTGGTATCTTCTTGCGAATTCTGATCGGCGAAATCTTGAAAGAACAAGGACCGGTGGGCGTAGTTGAGGGCATTGCGGCAATAATAAATCTCGTTGGCGTGGTATTTAAGCAGCCATTCTAAGTCTTGGTAATCATTTCCTTGGTTTCCGGTAGCTCGACGGGTATTGAATGCATCAAGTTTACTACGGAATTGGAAGAAGATGTTGATAACACGGATTTGGTTGTTGCCTAGTGGTGTTTGTTGCGCCGGTGGGGTAACGAGCTCGGTATCGTTAGGGATGTTACGGGGCGTGTTTAAATTGCCTGTGGATAATTAATGAGTGCCAGATAAATACTTTGATAGCCTTCCGCTTTATAGCTAAGACTCGACATACCATTAATGATAATATCTGCGCTGACAGCGTATGCACGATAACCTGTATCAAATTGCCCACCGGTGTGGACAAATATCTCGATGGAGGTTTGGCCGTGGATTGCTGGCACTGACAGCCTGGGATTTGAGTTAGTTAAACTGTCTATTCTTTGTTGAGTAGGATTACCTTACCTTGAGATCTGTAATAGGATGGCCTTAAGATATTCCATGGTCGTCCCCAGGCTCGGCAACGATTGGCGTTTTGCACTATCGATAACAATCGATGCCACAATTACGGGTGACCATAGCGACCAAAAGGGTCAATGGCTTTTTCCGCAAAATCGAATTTTTGGAAAATCGCATTTTTGACCCATTATATATTACTTACTTGAATTATTCCACTTTCAATATATTGCACGCATTATACGGTACTAAAAATGCCTCTAAAGATTAATCTTAAGCCTTATAAAAATAAGATTCTTAGTTGGATCTCTGAGAAGTATATAATTCCTGAGATTTTAAGTAAAATAAAAGAAATTCTATAGATTGAATATAGCCTAAAAACACTAAAACAAGCTCTCTCTAATTAGGGTATATTGCATAATAGAAAAAATAGGTCTCCTGAGATTAAGAGAATCAAATTATATATCTCTGAGTTATTTGCAGGCAATTATAATAATAATATAATTCTCTAAATACTTTTAGTTAAGGGAATACCCCTCTACTACTAATAGCTTATATAATATAGGCTAGATCTTGGCCTTATTTAAAGAATAATAATAGAGGAAAGAGAGTAGAAGTACTAATAGCTTATAGGTATTATATATAAGAGAAGTTAGACTATAGGAGGATTAAAAGCTATAGAGCAGGCTTAATTAAGATATATTTCCGTTAAATAGGGGTTACTACTTCTCGTAAATTAATCTATAATATTATTAAGGGCCTAGATAGTAAGGGCTATAAGCGTTATATAAATAATATATAGTATAAAAAGCAAGAGATAATAGTTAAAGGCCCGGATTAGAGGTAGTCTCTTAATTAGTATAATAAGCTAGCTCTATAGGGCTTCTAAATCTATACTACTATTAATATTTATTCTTATAATATTATTTAGTACTATATAGGCATTTCTAATTATATAATATATAGTATACTTAGCTAATTTCTTTAGGTACTCAGAAAGCTTAGCTATTATTCCCGAGTAATTTCCTCTAATAAAAAAGAAGAGGTCTCTTTTATTACTAAAGTCTAATATATTCTCTCTTATATAATAATACTAATTCTTTCTTTTAAGAAGATCTATTACTTTAGAACTAGTATAAAGAATTAAAGAATTAAGTTTTAGTAAAATTAACTTAAGAAATTCCGGCTATATTATTAGTATATTTATATTTATATCTATTTATATAATTCTTTTACTTGGGCTAATCTAATATAGGACTTTTTTTGAGCCTTTATAGTAGCTAGGGACTTTAATAGTACTTTTATGAACCGAATTACTATACTAGCTATTTATATATTTATTATATAATATACTATAGTATTATATATAAATATATAGAATTACTACCGGATCCAGAAAGATCTAAAGAGGAAATACTATATAGTAGGAATTTCTATATTTTTCTATAAATATATAGCTATTAAATAATATAGGCTTTTAGTAAATAAAGGGCTTTTAGCTAAATTAGAGCAAGATTATATTAATTAGAATAAGTTATTTCTATAATCTTTTTCTTTTTCTAATTTGGGTAGTAGCTTATAATATAGCTTAATTTAGAGGCTTATATAATTCTTATTTAAGTAAATAAACCGAGCTCTAATATCTTTTTATTATTAGTTTCTCTTTTTAGCTCTAGAGCCTCTTAGTTAGCTAGACTACAAATATATCTTTATATACTAAGATTATTAGCTATAGATATTAATAAGTATTTACTATATAATATCTTAATATAATATAAATTATAGCTTATAGATATTGGAATTAATTCTTTAAGCCTTATAAAAGAAACTAGTAAATTAGACGGTTTTAGGCTTTATATTAAGGTATATTACTGCCTTTAGCTTACTATATAATATTATATTACTAGTAGAAACTTAAGCCTATAGCTAGAACTTGTTCTAAAGATTAAAATTAGTACTAAAGAGATATAGCAAAATGGATCTCGCCTTAAGTAACTAATCTTAGAGAACTAGAAGTTTATAAAGACTATATAATTCTAATAAAGAGAGATTAAAGAAGTAGATATTAGTAAAGAAAGTAATTTATGTAAGTTAGATAAGAAGAAGTAAAATAAAAAGCAGCCGGATAAAAGAGACTTATTAGAGTAAAAGGCCTAAAAGAAGAAGTAAATCTTTATTTAAGGATTTTACTATCTTTTTATCTTTATTATATAATTTACTTATAATTATATCTTTTTTCTTTCTTTACTTTAAAATACTTTCTAGAAAGATTTCTGGCTTTCTTTTCAAATGCCCTATATATAGAAATACTCTTAATAAGCCTAGCTAGTTCTAGTATAAGTAATATAATATAGAAGTCTCTTATTTATTTAATTTATATAATTTAAAACCTTAGTATTATAGTATTTCTCTAATTAATCTTATAATATCTTCTCCTATATTATAAAATATAAAAGAGACTACTATTAAGATTTTAGATAATAATCCGATATCCCCTATTAGTAGCTTCTATTATATAGCCTTCTCTTCTTTTCTATTATTACTTATAGAGCTCTTTATTAAATTTTATTAAGCCCGGGCTAAGCCTAAGTAAGAAGCCTTTCTAATTAAATAAGAAGAGAAAAAGAAGACTAGATATCTTTCCTTTATATTATATAATATATAGGCTATTAAACTATATCTAAATTACTCTAGTTAGATTAAATTAAGGCTAAAACCTTCCAAAGCAAGTAATTTAAGCCTATTTCTCTCTATATTTATTATCTAATTATATAGGCCAAGAGTTATTTCTTATATAATAATTATAGCCGGTTTATATTAAGTTTCTGCTATTACTACTACTAGAAAAGAGCAGAAATGTCTGAATACTAGCTTTTTTTATCCTCTTTTATTATCTATAATTTCAGGTAGAAAAATCCAAGTTTAGATTTTAAAAGAAAATTATATAATTAGCTCTCTTTAAAGTTTAAAGATATTATATCTAGCTATTTAATAAAGAGCTTAACTCTTTTTTTCTTATATCTTCTCAGTTCTATATTCTTAATATATATATATATTCCTTATTTATTAATTATATAATACTTATATTATTTTAGGAAATAATATTAAATATAAGGTTTTTAAAATAAATCTCTTAAAACTTAGATATTAGAATAATAATCTAATATAAGCCTTTATTATTAATAAGCTTATAATAAGTATTCTAAATAGAAGATATAGCTAAATATATAGTTATATAAAGAAGCTAGTTCTCTAAACCGGGAAATATAAAACTTAAATAGCTATAGCTTAAAAAAATAAAGATAATTTCTTTTTATAAGATCTAAAAGAGCTTTCTTCTAGAGAAATTTATATAATAGAGAATCTTTTACCTTATTTAGTTATATTAGTTTAAAAGAATATTTATAAGTTTCGGGCTTATTTAATTCTATTTATAAAGAATAAAGACCTTATTCAGAAAAGCCTTTAATACTATTAAAAGAGATATAAGGCTATTCTTATATTACCTGAACTATTTAAGCTATTATATAATAGAGAAAAGAAGTTATCTCTCTTGCTTTTCTTTTTAACTTCTCTTTTAATAGGGGTTACTTCTTCCTAATTAGAAGCCGTTAAAAAAGAGAAGTATCCGGTTTTATAAAACTATATTTTATTATATAATTAAATAGTTCAAAAAGTAAGTTCTTTTATTAAGCTATTTCTCTACTTTTAACTAATATTTATTTCTAGCCTACTAAAGTAGCTAAAGCTAAATATATAAAAGTCGAGCCTATTATTAAAGTAGAGCCCTTTTAATCTATTCCGAAACTAATAGTATTAATATAATACTTATTTAATTTATATACTAATACTTCTCTAAAAAGAAACTTTCTTCTAGCCAAGTTCTAGCCTTACTAAAAGAAGCTATCCTTTTTTCTCCCTAATTCGCACTTTCTAACTTTCCAGAAACTATATATTAATATATAAATCAGTGATCTGTAACTCTTAAGTATAAGAAGATAGCTAAAGAATATAAAAGTATACTTCTTATTAAGCTTTAAGAGCTTAAAGACTTTATAGAGAAAGAAGATATAATTCAGAATTTGGTAAGCTATACTTTTAAGGAAAGAAGAAGCTTAAGTAATTATATATAAAAGCAAATATAATCTCTTTTAGGTCCAGAGGTATTTTGTCTAGAAGAATAAGCTAAGAAGCAAATTAGGCCAAATTATATTCAGACTAAGAAGAATTAAGCTCTAGCTAAGAGAGAGAGAGAAAGGGCTATTTCGCTTATTTAAAGTATATTATATAGTAGAAGAATTAGAAAGATATTTATAAAACAGATTAAATAAGTTAAGTCTAAGGGTTTAAAGAAAAGAGGAAAGAATCTAAGAAAGAAATAAGGCTTTTTAACTTGGTTTAATATTAAGAGATTCTATACTTATTATATAATATTTTGGAACTAGATTAAATTCTCTTTTTCTTAATTTTTAGGTATTTCCAAATTAAATTATAATTATAAGTAAAATTAAAAGAGGACAAATATTAAGAGCTTAATATAATCTATTAGATATTATATAAAAGCCAAGTAATTATATAATATAATAAAAGTAGTTCTATTTATTTATTTATAATAAAAGAAATATTCTAGCTAGAGTAATATTTAGGCTTTAAAATCTAGCTACTTTATATAATTTGAGGGAATTTAGGCCATTTTCTACTATTGCCCTCTTTTCTATTATTATTAATATCTCAAGTACTATATTAGATTATATAACTATAATAAATATAGTTACTATATACTTTATATTACTCTTTTTTAGGAACTCTTAAATACTTCTTAAAAATGCCTTAACTATTTTAATAAGTAATATAAGAAGTTTGAATATTAACTTGGCTACTATATTATTTAGTATAGATTATATAAACTTAGAAGAAGTAACTTATACTTGTTAGATTAAGATTATATTAATAATCTTAGAAAGAAGTAGGATATTAAAGATAGTAGTAATATAGAGACCTTTAATTATAATATCTAAAGGTTCTGGATTATTAATATTAAAGATATACTTCTACTAAGGGCTACTATTAATAACTAAGGACTGGAGCTTATTTCCTTCTATATAAAGGAAGTACTAAATATTATTAGAAGCGTCTATACGAGTTCAGACAACTAGATTTTATTGAGCTTGGGCTGCTATTATATATATATAAAGTATTATATGTAAAATATTATATATAAAGTATATATAGAGAGAAAGAATATATAAGTATATATATATAAGGAAATTGGAGGAAGGATTGGGAGCTGAGAGCCTATTTTATAGATATCTGGGGCCAAAAATAACTTAAATAGAAGCCTGAATAATTCAGATTAAGCTATAAATTAAGCTGTAAATTATATAGTTATTTGATATAGTTCAGATAATACAGGCAAAATAATTGGCTAGGGCCTTAGAAATAGGGCTATAAAGCTGTGAATTATATAGTTATTTATTATAGTTCAGACTATAGGGCTAAAATAATTGGCTGGGGCCTTAGAAATAGTTATATAAAGCTGTGAATTATATAGTTATTTAGTATAGTTCAGATAATGGGGTCAAAATAATTATATATGGCCTTAGAAATATGGCGAAAATGCGAAAATCAGGCATTGACCCTTTTGGTCGCTATAGTCAACCAGAACAATCGTAAGGTATTGATTGTAATCGATAGTACAATCGATTATTTAGCGAGCTAATCCCTACATACGTATGATTTTACCCCTTTTCTAATGCCAGAAGATCCAGGAGTTTAGTAGAGTACTATACTATATATAATAAAGGTAAGGCTCTCTCTTATTTACTTATTTAAAGAAAGTATCTAGAACTCTACTTCTTTTCTAGTACTTAAGGTACTCCTGCGTCTTGTTTCGGCTTCAAGCTACCCCCTATTCTAGGTTGCTTACCGTACGACAAGCCCCTGAAAAGACTCCCTCTGGCTCATCGCTCATTAGTACTATTAAAATAATATTAATAGCTATTCCTGCATCCGGTAAGACATAGTCCATACTAGCAAGGGGGTCTGTTACGATTTACCCTACCAAAAATCGGCCGCACTCACATATTACTACCCCTCCTTCCTTTTCTCTTAGCATTTACTATTACTTAAAATATTTACTCTCTCTTTAATTCTTCTCTCTCTCTCTATATATAAAAATATAAAAGTAAGAGGGGGGATTAGGGGATATCAAATTCAAGTAGTTAAAAGCCTTGGTTCTCATTACGAAGGCGACGGGCGAAAAAAACCAGCCACTCGCCAAATCGCGAGGAATACCAAAATCGCTACCTTTAGAAAATTACACTAATATTCAATACAAGGCCTAAACTCTTTACTTTTTAGTTTGTGCGATAGAGAAGAAGCAGATCTATCTTTTATAATAATTTTGCTAGAATTAAATTCAAGTTACAATTACGAGAATTTTTTTATTACAAGGCTAAGATTACACAAATTCTCGCTAAGGGATTTGGACGGTTTTTTTCGCCCGTCGCCTTCGTATTAAAGGCGGGGAAAGGCCCCTTAATATAGTACAAATTCACTAGTCTCCCACTAGCCCCCCCATACGCTGGCTGCCTTAGGCCCATAAGCTTGGCAACTTTTAATGGGGGGAGGGGTTAAGAGGGCGAGTATATAAAAGTAAAAAGCAATAAGTGAAGAGAGAAAGTGAGAAGTAAGCTTCGAGGCTTGTGGGTTGCGAGGAAAAGGGAGCCCTATAATTATAGGCTGCTTATCGCTAAATTTTAGGGCTACGGTCACTAAATTATAGGCTATAGGTACTAAAAATTTAGTGCTTAGCTTTCGTGGGGTGCGGGGTAATAATCATTTAGTAATTGATTACCAATCGATTATAATCAATAGCTAATCAATAGTGCACACAATCGATTACTAATCGATTGCTCAGTAATCGTTGCCGAGCCTGGTCGTCCCGACGGCAATATCGACATCTTGGGTCCGACGGGGGCTTCCTCGCACATACATTGCCCAGCCGCCAAGAAAAGCGAACGGGATTCTGTAATACTCAAAAATTTGGATCATGAATCTCGCTGCAAGGCAGAGATCATTGATTTCTGGCGCGCGTGAACCATAGTAGAGCTCTCCGAAACGTGTGGTATCGTATACCTCGGCCAGTGGGGCCAGAGTTGAGGTCGAGGCTTCGCCTTGTTGTGAAGAACTCATGATATATTTTATCAATTTCAGGAAGGTTTTGTTTGCGAAGACAGAGGGCGCAGAATAATATGGACAAAGTGATGGAGAAGAAACGGCTACAGTAGAGTCTTAAATAGAGGTGGAAAGGAGTATTATATACATTTTTAAGCTATTCTTATCCTTGACAATAGCATGGCATAGCTTTGTTGTACAGGCGCTTACGTTTCAAGACTGGTCTTGAAGAGGGTTTCTCGAATCTGTGCCCCAACTTACTATTCCCAGGAAGCGCCAAAATTTCGATAGCTGGCGCAGCCCGCACCTCGAGACATGTAAGTAGGCTTCGCTCTCAATTGGTGAGTATTGAGGATATTAAAATTCAATATCACAATGTAGGGGGGCTCAGCTCTAGGTTGGTGTTTCAAACAAGCGCTCAAGTTTAGACAACTGGCGCAGCTAGCACTTCGGGCTGCTCGAGTCAGGCAACGGCCGAGTGGCCCATGACCAGGTCCAGCTCCGTGTTGGTGTTTCTTGCACACATTTAGCAGGGTTCTCACAACATTTTGGCCTCAGATCTCTGTAAGTGTTTCATGAAATCGAGGAGTTAGACCTTTCCAGGACCTTCTTGCGCCTTGCTGCATCTACGGGTTGGTTGTTGGCAACCAAGTTGTGACCGGTGAACAATACGCGCCGTCGGATCGATAAGTGTGCGATATAGCCAAAATAAGGAATCAAATGACACAATTACCTTTTTGAAGGCTAGAAAGGCGTACTCTGGGTTACGCGCAGTTGGCTTTGAAGGTTGGTAGGCCGGGAGCCCTGAGCCGGTGCTAGTCTTTCAATGAAACATACATGAAAATAAACTAACAAGTGATAAGTACTTGGCTGAGAATAGATTTTCTCATTCGAGTTACTAAAATTAGTAATTATATTACTGCAATTCTTTTTATAGGCAGTCGTGAGTTGGTAGACTCTTACCAAACCACTAAGTCGGCCTGGCTATTTCTACTTCAACGACGCGCGCCTTGCTATTGCAAGTGTCAGACCTCCAAAAGGGGAAAGATCTCTACATATATAACCTGCCCTCTGTAAGTCTACAGAGCTCAAACAAAGGCCAGAACCGTGACAGCTCTTTATCTTTAGACTCGGGAACTTGCTCTCCTATACAATACTTCTGCCAACCCAACCCCAGTTCTTTTCATCCGAGATTCACGACTTTCACTCAAAAGTTCTCAGTTGGGACTGGTTTACCATGCCATCACGGCCGTCGCGCATGAGTATGTCAGTCATTCTGAATTTGATCACCTTATTCATCCTGATTCGAATTAGCTAGTGTCAACTGGAGATATTCCTCGTATTTCATTATTATCCCCACCTTGCTTCTATATGGTAAGATTCTTTATGTACGAGCCAGCGCCAAAAGCAAGAAAAGTAGGCTAACGCTTGAAATCTACATAGTTCTTTCTCTCACCGGCTGTGTATCAAACTCGCCAGGATTACAAAATATCTTCCTAACAGCGATTCAACACCGGAATGGTAACTTAACTACTACCTCGACAGGAGTTCAATTGCGTGTGGGATACTTCGGTAAGTGCATCATTACACCTTCCATTACTAAAAATAACAATTACGAAAGGAGTATGCGGGCATGCCAGCACGGATACAACTTGTTTCATTTCAGCAATGACTTCGTTGGATAAATTAGCATCACAGCTCAACTCCACCATAAATCTCAGCGATGTTGACATTAACCAAGTCACTGCCCTTCTCTCCGTGGCATTGGTTCTGCAAACCAAAATACTCTTTCCACTTTTGGCTGCCGCTGGCTCTTCGTTCCTCCTTGGCATCACATGTTTCATTCTTTTCAAGTGGGCCGCGAAACGACCTAAAGTCAACCTCACAGAATCTTCTGCCAAGCGATTGCAAATTTACAGGCGGGGTTGCCTCGGCTTTATCTGGACTTCTGTGGGTCTTTCCACCGCCTTGGTGGTGTCAGTCTCCGAATCTACAGCTGCGTTGCAGTTTTGGACGGCCAATGCGCCTGAGTCGAGCATGATTGTGTCTACTGGAACAACTATGCAAGCTTTGCAATGGGTTCTAGTTGTACTATCGGCCCTCTTTGCACTCACGGTTTCTTCTATGCTTAGAGTAACTGAAACCGGGACTCTTCCGGGACCCAGAGGAAATGGATTGCCCCCAATGGGTTCAACAATGCCGCCGGCATCAGGAGGTCGATTCCAATCTCCAGGCCAAGGAGTACCACCACCCCCACCATTTATGTAAATTTGTATATTAATTCTGTTTTCAATTAAATAATAAATCAAGCTTTTTCGAATTAAATAAATATAATTATTACTTCATATAATCTTATTAACTTGTATATAAATTTATTATTTATTTATTAAAAAATTCTTTTAAGCTTTATATTTTTATATTTCATTTAAAAGAATAAATTATATTATTTTTAATTCTTAATTTATTAAAAATATAATTATATAAATAATAATAAAATAATTTATTCTTTTAAAAGAAATATATAAAATAAAACTAGTATTATATAATATAAATTAAATTAATTTATTTTAATTCTTATAAGCTTTATAGTAATTAAATATATTAATTAAAATAAAATAAAAAGAATCTTATTATATAATTAAATAATAGAATTAATTATTTTATAAATTAAATCTTTAATATAAAAAAGACTAATAAATTTTAATATTATAAAAAGAAAATTATAATAAAATAAAACTTATATAAAAGATATTAGAAAGAAAAACATAACTAATACTAATAATAAAAGTATATATAATAAAGTAAAAATAGTATATAATTATAAAAGTATTATTTAATTATTAAAAAGGCAAATAATTTTATATATTACTTTTAAGTTATATAATAGTAAATAAGTTCGTAATTATATAATTATTATATAAAAATTACTAAAATAATATATATTTTTTGAAATAAAGTATAGTTTATTATATTATAATATAAAAAGTATTTATTTAAAGAAAAGAGCTAAAAGTAAGCTTTAATTTTCGAGAAATAAGAAATATAATTATATAAAAATAAGCTTATATATATATAATATATTAATTATAAAACCAAGTTTTAACTTATTATAAACTATAAATAAAATTATAGAATTAATTAAAACGCTTTTATAAAATAATTAAGGTTATTAAATAAAAAGATATATAAGTAAAAAATAAAAGTATTTAATTATAGAAATAATTTTATTAATTAATTACTTTAATAAGTAATCAAAAAAGTTAAATAATTTTATTTTAAATAATTTATTAAATATATTAATATAATTGAGTTTTATTAATAATTTATTAAAATAATTATATTATTAAATTAAATAATAAATATATTATTAAATAGGATTTTAGTTTTCGTTTTATTATAATATTAAGAATTAAATAAAAAATAAATAAAAAATTTTTTTTATTAATAAAAGATATATTTTAATTATTAAGATTTTGTTTTAATTTCTATTAATTTTATTTATTAAAAGTTAAAATTTTTAATAATAAAAGCATATATTTTTATTTTATATTTATTTTAATATAAGTATAATTGGTCACGAAACCGGGCTCTGGGCTTGGAAAGCAGGTAGAGTGGCTCTTAATCCGAGGATTCTAAACTAAGGAGGGAAGCTCTAAGTACAGGAGCTTTGGTATTCTAAAGACTAGCCAGCCGCATGCGTCATCGCGTGGTCACGTGACGCTAAATTTACTAGTGAAGCGGTAGAGCGTAACATAATTCTTTAATTATTATATAATTAAATTAAGTCTAATTAAATATTTAAAATCTTAATTTATTATATAACTTATATTTCCTTATAATTAATAATATTTTTAAACTTTAAGCTTTACCTTTTTTATAACTCTTATAATATCTTTTTATATTTTTCTTTAAATAGAATATATTATTAAGTTTAGTAATTTTATATTTTATTTATTATTAAATATTTTTTATAAAATTAAAATTAATAAATATATATAATAAATATAAGTAAATATTAAGTATTATAAATTTCATTTCTTATTTTAAATATTACTTATATAAATTATATTAAATTATATTTTCTAATTAAATAAAATATTTTTATATATTTAGCTAAATATTAAAAAATATATAAAGAAGTATATATAGTTTTAAAAAAAGACATTAATTAGTTTTTTATTAAAAATATTTTTAAGGTATTTATTAGTAAATAATAAAATAATAAAATGAATTAGTAAGTTATAGAATTATAGTATTAAATTTAGTATAGAACTAATTTCTATTTTTTTATAAGGTTTAGAGAAGTTTTCTTTAAATAAGAAGCCCTAATAATATATATATATTTAGTAATTTATAAGCCTAAAACCTATAATATAAATAGTAATATAAATATAATATTAAAGAACTATTAATTTCTTTAATTAATACCTGTAATATTCGAGGTTTATTATATATCCTTTAATTATAAATGACTTTATATATATTATAATTATATTTCTCTTTTAGAATCTTATTCTTAAGATTTATTAATTTATTCTAGTAAAATATTTAATTAAAATAAATTTCTAATATTTTAAAAAGTAGTTTTATTAATATAATCTAAATAATAAATATAAAAATTATTTAATTAAATTAAGGCTAAATAAATAAAAAGAAATAGTAATTATATTTCAGATAAAAAAACTAGCTAATAATTATAATTTTATTTAGAAACTAAGTATTCTAATTAGTTGAATTTAAAGTACTAAGATATTATTTTATAAAATTAATACTATTTATTGGATTTTATATTAAAATAATCCAAATAGCTTTATAATAAGAATTTAATAAAATATTTATATAAGAAACTTATATAAATATTTCTAAGATTCTAGAAATTATTTATAAGTTTCTAAAAGTATATATTAATTAGTTATACTAATTTCTAATTAAAACTAATATAAAAACTAATAATCAATTCAAGTAATTCTTTATTTTTATAAATAAACCTCTTTATATTATTATATATTCTTTTTTTAATAATTATATATATAATAACTTCTTTTATTTTTATTTTCTAGCCTTTTCTTTTATTCTTTTTCAAGTTTTCTTTAATTATTTTTAATTAATTTTATAATATCTGGCTTTATTATTTATTTTTATAATAATAAATATAAGGGTAATCTTATAGTCTTTTTTTCTATTACTAATAAATACTTGAAATATTTTAAGTATTTATTTATTAATTTCTTTATTTTATATATTATAATATTTAATAAGAAAAGTTATAACTATTATAATAAGGGTTCTAAATCTTATATATTAGTAGTTTTTTTTTAGCTTTAATATTTATTAAAGCTAATATAACTTTAGATTACTTATTACTTATTAAAGGCTTACTAATTCTAAAAAAATACTATTATTATAGGCTAGGCTTTTATATAAAGAACACTAGTAATTCAATTAACTAAATAGAATTCTTTAAGGAAAAAGAAAAGAGAAAAACGAAAAGAAATAAAATTATATTTCTTGAAATATTTAAGTTCTTTAAATAATATATAATTATTATATTAATTTAAGGAAGTATATTATATAATAAAGGCTTTGGCCTTTATTATATAACTTAATAATGGCTTTTAGCCTAGTATATAAATCGGGGTTTAATTTATTATAATTATTATAATATTTAAGAAATTTCTTGAAATTTATTCTAAATAATATTATACTAATATAAATAATACTATTAATTAGGTCTTTAAAAACTAGAAAAAGTTTAATAAGTTTCAGAATTTTATTTATTGTTTTAATAAAGCTAATAAAAATATTATTTAAGTTAGTATTTTAAAGATAAGTTTTTCTAATATATTTAGATATTTATTAATTTCTTAAAAAAATATTATAAAGTTTACTTTTAGGGTATTAATTTTATTAAGATTTTTAAATTAACTATTAATAGTACTTTAAGTATTAATAATATAATACTTATAATTATTCGAGATTTAATTTTAGAAATTCAAGTCTTTTATAAGATATATATAAGATATATATAAATATTAATATAGCTATTTCTTTAGAAATCACATATATAGTTACGGGATACGGGATACGAGATATAGGTAATAGGATATAGGTAATAAGGTATAGAATATAGGATATAGTTATATAACCTCGTATCTTATTAGTAACTTGACTGGTAAACTAGATCTCTTTAGACTTAGCAGATTTAGGGATTATATATTAATACTATAATACTATAATTCTTACTTCTAAATAATAATAACTTTACTAACTAATATAACTAGTATTTCTATATTTATATAATAGTACTATATATTACTAGTAAACTAATACTAATTAGTTTATATATATAGATTAGAGAAGATTTTAGATTAGTCCTAAAAGTATTTAATAGCCTAAGACAAATCTAGTCTATTTTATATTAAAGAAAAGAACTATTTATTAACTTTATAAAAGTATTTAGTAACCTATAAAAAAGATATCTAGCTCTTACTAATTAATAAGTAATTAGCTATTTAATTATTTATCTATTTAACTTCTATTATTCTTTAAAACTAACTTCTTTTAGCCCTAAGACTACTTTCTTAGAAACTATCTTTTTTACTTATATAATACCTATATTTATAGGACTCTCTCTCCGGAATATATATTCTATATATATCCTTAAAGCTCTTTAACTACTACTTCGATTTTATTATTAAATTGAGTTCTTTGAGCTTTAGACTTTCCCGGAATTATAATATTTCACTTTCTAAATTTCTTATTATAAATAAAATATTTAAGGGCAAAATATTTACTTTAATACCTATAATATCCCTGGATATCTGGGGTATCTGGTATCTAAACTAGGTATCTGGTATCTTAATCAGGTATCTGAGCTAGGTATCTGGTATCTAAATCAGGTATCTAAACCAGATATCTGAACCAGATATCTGGATATCTTTATTACTAAATTCTTTCTATAAACCTACTATAAACTACCTTATCTTTAAACCCCTCCTGCTACGAATTATATATATATACTAGGAAGAACCTGAATTCGGTTTAGTATAGATACTATTAAGAGAAAGAAACTAATTAAGAAATAAGAGAATAGTATTAATCTAGTAATTATAATAAAAGCTAAACTTCAGGAATATATAACTACTAAGATATATTAGTATATCTTATATAGGAAAAGTAATAATAATCTATAGGATCTATTCCAGAATAACTTTAAAAACTTTAATACTATAGTATATAATCTAATTAATTATATACTTATATAAAAT